ATTATACCATACCCAGACTATGGTATAATTTTCAGTTTTGAAGATCGAAGGAGTAAGTGTTTCTGGGCGGAGCTATAGGTTAAAACAGATATACCATTGCTGCGTTGACGATTTCTGGGTTTGCGTAAATTATACCATAATCACGTGACCTTTCTTATGCCTTAACCTCACGAGACGAAGGACAGTTTATGGATAACATGTATAGCATATATCATTGGCGTCCGCGCCGAAGCGCGGCGCTCTTATGGAATGAGATCAGATTTTGTGAAAGGGCGACAGCAACTTCTCGAGCCTTTTAGTCGGTCATAATAAAAGCCGAAAGTTCCGATCGGTATGAGGGTGCTTGATTATTGAATAAGAATGAAATGTCGCGATATGTTACAATGAATTTTCGCAATGCAAACATTTTCAAGTGAAATAACCTTTTCCGTCAATAAATCGCGCTCTTCGGGGTTTTTTATTTATCATTTTGTAGTACACAGTCGGTTATCATGGTATGTTATTGTTGTACATGTATCCTAGAATGATCAGTTGATGACCTAAATATTCCAAAAACCTATTTATGGATATATCTATTTATCACTCCTATCGGTAAATGCCGGTCTCTCCCGGTCTATTTTGACCAGGATTTACTAGTGACCGGCGAATAGTACCACAGGTTTATTGTCCGGTCTCTCCCGGTTTTGGAGTAGATGTTTGAATATCGTTACAATTAGAAAAAAAAAACAACAATAGCATGTTTCATTTTATCTATATGAGATAAAAACAATAAATATGTACACGGATTTATATGTAAAATATATCCGTGATATGTACAATAATTGAGAAAAAGGTACATTTTTTTTATGGTATTAAAATGACATTATCAACTTTGAAACATTTTATTTAATTATTTAATTTGTTATCCGTGTTTAGTAAAGATGCCGAGGAATTATTCAAAGTTACAAATTAGATTTTATGAATTATTCAATTGATCGATAATTTAAAAAATGATAAAGAAAAATACAATGTACATGTACATGGTTTAAGAATAAACAATATTATATATTGAAAGATAAACCATAATTTACTGACTTTTTCCAGTTAAGCTTTGACTTATAATCGTCGGTCAATATGACAATTGAATTCTTAAAAATTTATTTTACAATTTTAATAAAAAAGAGTAGTAAAACTCAGTATTAAAATAGCACATAAAACACAAAAAAGAATAAAAGAAAACAATATTCATAAAATTTGTATTTTTTTTTTATTAAAATTAATAGATATTACAATTATTGTATAATAAACAATTATGCTCAACATGATCAACATGGTAATATAACCAGTGCCATATTTTTACTAACTTAAAGTGTGAACAGATACCTTAAGGGGGTCTTCGCTAATAGCGATAACATAATAAGGGACAAATGTGTCCACTTACTCCTTCGATCTTCGAAACTGAAAATTATACCATAGTCTGGGTATGGTATAATTTACGGTTATTGGAAATTATACTTGGAAGAATTTTACATAAGAAGCGCTGAAGAGCTATAGGTTAAGACAAAATATACGTTTTTAGTTAATAAGATAGATAAATACAGAATCCCTAAAGAAAGCCCAACAACCAGTAATACACGAAGTTGTATAGGTCTCGACTTATGAATTAGTCATTCAGTAAATTATAGGGTACATGTATATGTCTAATGTATCAGTAATTTATGACATTGTATGCGTCTCACTGATCAGTTATAAATGACAGCTCAAACAACTGTGACACACCCCTGTAATCCGTTTAAACTTTAAATTATTGATCAAATTGTACATGGCTTGTTACCTATCATTCTGACAGAAAACAGTTTGTAGTTTTTTCACTTGCTCTTTCTCGGACACTGTTGCTATCTCACCTCAATGTTCCTTTTTGGGAACATTTCTGTTTCTGGAATGCAACAACGATATTATTTCTAGCATATTGTCTCCTATCCGCGACCCTGTCACTGATGCCAATCTGGATAACTAAGAAACTCAAAAATCAAATCTTTGAAACAACAATAGATTACTAGAATTTCCTTAATCCACGCGAAATAGAGTATAATTAAGTGGAGTTATTATCACACGCAAACACAACAAACTACTACACCCATCTATCATTATTAAGAATACACAAGTAACTTGACAAACCAGATTCGTTACTGGAGTAAAGTTAGTACGTGCATTGCATTGTCAGACAGGGGATGAGCAAATTTACCGTTGTCCAGGAGGGGTCAATGCGATATGCATCATCAGACTGATACCTAAAAAGGAAACAATAGAAACTTTTATCCTATATAAGAAACTGCTTTAGAACAACTAAAAAAGGGCTTGCGCGTGACCTCATTACTCTCTCGCAAGCTCATATCTGACAAACCTTGTCTCAGCATTTGTTTGTCGTTATAATCCTTATGTCCACTGTTACTCTCAGTTTGATCTCCAATTCTTTCTTTTCTTCCTTTTCGTTCACTAAAGATTTTATATATACGACTTTTTGCATACATTATCCTATTTTATGAAATATTTTCAAAATACGTTTATTTTGATTTTTTTTCAAAAACAATCCTATTATTTTTAATTTAATTAGATTCAATACATGTACAAGCAATTATTTTCTATTGTTGAGGAGTTTAACATTTTAACAGTCTAAAGTATAAGGCTACGTAACATCAAATATGTCTTAATTAAATGTTTATCAAATATGTTATTCAAATTTATTCCATATATATACAAGAATATGTCTTAAATATGTTGTTCAATTTCAAGAAAGCCAACAGCTATCATGCAAAACAAACTGAGCCTACTTTGATAACCAGCTCGTGTGTTACGTGCAGGTTAAACTGATTATGATTAATAGAATCGTGATTAAGGTGTATCCAGTTTTTTTAAATGAGCAGTCATTTACTTAATATCATCCACTGTGAGGTGTGGTAATTACATTACTTTACATCCTGTAAAGTATTGCGTGATCACAACATAAATTTATAAACTTCAGAGTTTGTATTATCTGACCAAAATGTTAAAATAAATTTAATAATCAATAATTTTCGCATTTTTTTATACAGTATTACAGATATTTAATAACGAAGCCCGTAGCATTTTCATCAAATTCATTTTAGTATAGTTTTCAATTTATTTAAATAATTTGATCATCTTATCCTAATACGTGTCTGACAGGTTATGGAACAGAACAGAACTAAGGCAACAACAGTGACTGACATTATGTTTGCAGGGTTTGGTGTTGAACTATATGGTACAGCTGCTTAAATCGTTATACATGTATATAAGATAACAGCATGTTAACTTATTTTTGATTTTTTCCTTCATATATATTATTAAATCAATTAGACAATATAAGCACATATGTTAAAACGCTATATATCGCACTATATTAAGCATTTTTGAAATACGTCTATAAAACGTTAAGTCTACGAAAATTGCTTTGGGAGAATTTTGAAATAAGTAAATTAGGTTGTTCATCAAAGTTAGGATCGACTTTTATCGGCAATAGAACATAACAGAAAACTAAACTACTAGTATACAGTAAATGTACTAAAATAAATAAATATCGAGTACAGATCATAAAAGGTCTCTGAATCGTTTCTAAAAAAAACAATGATAGAATAATCAAGTTAAAGTGTTAACTGTTAGGTAGCACTCCACACCAAATTTCCTGCCGTCAAAGCCCTACAAACATTATGTTTGATAATTTGACCCCAAACTACACAACCAGGAAAACGAAACCACGCTGTATTGAGAACATATATGTCATAATATTGTAAACCTATACTGAAATTATCTCGTGTGCAAAAATCAGGCTGTTAAAAATGTTGCATTTCATTCCGTTGAAGACCAAAATCTACTGTGGTCCTAGACCGAGACCCAAAACAACACATTTCGTCTCTGTGACAAAAATACCTGCACATATTAAGACTACAAAAACACGTCTTTGCTGTAGAAATTCCCTATACATGCAAAATTTCACAAAGAAACAGATGCCTCGCCTTATAGATTTTGTTATTACTTAAGTTTGTCCCCACACCCTCCTTAAAATTGACTTGTTTTTACCGAGCATGCTGTTTAAAAGCAATGTTTACAAAGAAAAAGCGACATCGTTAATCAACTGGCCATGTTTTCGAATTTGCCAGTGATCATATTAGATGTCACAAAAACAAATTTCATGCTGAAAATGTATTTAAAGACAACAAGTCATTAAAATCCAGAATAGTCACTATATCCAACATGTCCAAGAAATCAATTACTGTGGTGTCAACCTTATATTAGTTGGACAAAGCAAGAATTAAGTTTAAGCCAAACCCTTTAAATCAACGTAAGATGTAAGTTACTATATTTACAATATAGGTCTTAAAATGATCGTAAAATAATCAGAAATGCTAAGATAAGATTTGAGATATACAAGACACAATAATTATTTGTGTACTGTCAGTAATTTTGAAGGGCGCAAGTGTATGAGTGTGATATTAAAAGTGTAAAGTGATTATTATGGATTTTATAAACAAAATCAAAATAATTAAAATCGTTTTTACATTATTATTTGATGAAAGAGTCCTATAAACTTACTCATTTTATTTCAAGAGAATTACGTAAAACCTAACACGTTTATTAAGTCCCTTCCTCTGAACGTGAATTTGTCAATTTGTAACCAGTCTTAACATTTGAACCGATAAATCACATTGAACCCAATAATTTCAATTAAAACCAATAATCACTAATGGAACCAATAATCAAGTGTGAATCTAATATTCACATAATAAAATATTTTCCATTGATCTCCATCTACAAATTTTGTTTGAAATTTTTTAAAATCAACATTGATATATAATAATAATAAATGTACACTCGACAGGTGCTTTTAATAACATCTGATATACTATTACTTTGGGTGCATTCAACTAATTGACAGGAAGTCAGTCCTAACAGCCAATGAAATTATCCGTTACAAATTGGTAACTTGATACCAATATGGAGAATTAATGACACTGCGTTTAACGCTGAGGCGGCAGATGACACACTTTTATGAACAATATTTCATTTGTTTTGTCGGCTTGTGAAACGTTCATACTATAGCTTGCATATTTATATGGTCAACGTTACAAGGTAAAATTTAGCGCCAGAGTTTTATATATATTTTTAAAACTATTCATAGCGTCGAACTTGTGAAATTCAGTCTATCACTGTATTCGGCATGTTCGACATTTTCTGTAAATATATACATTATGTGTTATATTCATTTCAAAACATGCTTTTTCCGCTATGCAAACAACACTGTACAAAACCCATTTGTAATGATATAGCAAGTCCCTAAACAAGCAAAATATAAAGTCAAACAAATTTGTCACCAAACTATGACATCAAATCTATAATGTCAATATAACATAGTTATTTTTGCTTGTTTTAGATACTGAAGAACACATCGGTAAACACAAGGTACACATCGGGTACTAGCACGACTCATCCATCGTTAGTGTAAACGCATGACAAAACATACGGGTAAATATGTATACATAATGAATAAGTGAATGGAAACTAGTGAATGGAAACTATAGAAACATTTACACCAAATAAAACTCGAATAGCGTTTTGATTTATTTTCTTAAATTGATGAATAAACTACATTTAAATACAAATATAATGGAAATAGAATACGGATCAGATGCAGTTACTGAGCTAGAATCGATGTTGGAAAAACATGACATACCAACAGTTGAAGATAAACTTAAGTTTTTAGAGAGTGTGAAGCAAATATCAGCTTTCATTAGAAGTGAAACAGAAAGTTGCAGTCTTGAAGACTCAGGGATCACGCTTGTTGATGTTATAAGAGGAGCACTGTTTATAGCCGACGTAGCTCTTAAAATTGCAGATTTTGCACCGTTTTCATTTCCAATCAAAGTCGTATTTAAAGTCTTGTTAGGTATCAGTAACTTGATATTTGGGAGGAAAATTATATCGAACACTGTCCAAGGTTTCCAGACTATTCTTGACCATGAGATCATAGGAAACGCTAGAACAAGGCTGTATGACTATAAGACACGTTTGATTTACATACAAGGAGTTGTGGACGATGTTAAACGCGCTGAAACACAACATGAAATTGATAAACTGCTCGCTGATGTAGGCAATGAAGAGTCTGTAATGGCTGGAATAAAGGATATATCTCTAGTGGAAACAAAAATAGAGGATATTTTACATGAGGGTGATCTAGATCAGTTTTCAAAATTGATGACACAGGTTGAGTTATATTGTTCTTTGACTAATCTACATGAGATTCTTCTTCTATATCGTATTGCCATCCTTGCAAGTCATAAAAGACAAACAGGAAGACTCGTGAGATTGTTGTATGCTAACAGACAGAACCATGAAAACGTCCTTGCATTTCTTTACAAGCCAACAAGGAAAGTAGTTGGATTCTTCCTGAAATTTAACGAGAAAAACTATCCGCTAACAATGGCTTTCCTGCAGCATCGAGGATTATCATATGTAATGTTAAAGAAACTTTTTTATCTTCTAGATGGGCAAAGGTATGAAATTATATCAGAAAAATATACAGACACAAAACTTTTTATAAAGGATGCTTTAATCTTAACGTGTGCACGGTGTACACCTGAAAAATCGAACGATCCTAAAACAAAATTAGAACTTCAAAGCGGTGGGAATAACACTTTTGAAATTATTGGAAGTGAGATGCTTTTATCAGATGGATTGTGGGTGAAAGGGTCCTACAAATCTAATACAGCAACAAAATGGCGGGTAATTCTAGTTGAAGGTGACACACCGGGTGATGAACCATGTTACATGTTCAGCCCAGTATCATCAGAAAGTACTCAATTTATGTGCGTAGATTGGACTTACCGTGTTATAACAACGACATTCTCGCACGGTGATGAAACATTTTTTTGGAAAATCAAAAGAGTTGATTTATAAACAAACGAGACAACATTGGAATACGTGTCATTATCATGTATATTAAATTCTACATGAAATATCTATACTGGTCACATTGTAACATCATCAATGCAACAAATAAACAAACATAAAAACAAAAGAAAAAATTGTTTAATATAAAAATTCAAAATCTGTAATTTTATTTTCTCCTAATATTGACTATTTATATGCACTTTATAGATACATGTTTGGCACACCATTGATTTTAGTGTAAATATTGAATTGTCAAAAGGCAATATCACCGTAAATTATGTACTATTGTGTCTTATAGTTTAATAAAACATATTGTCTAATTATATTTCGCACCTATAGTCTAAGGGAGACAACTTGTGCCTGGTGTCATGACAGCCAACTTTGTTACGAGAATTTCTGGGCATTGCAGTTTAGGAGATTTTAAGGTATTTTCTATATAAAGCCATGTAAACTAAGTGACCTTTAAAGTTATTTTTTGACCACAGATTTGCTACAAATTTGAAAATTCAAGCCCTAGGCAATACATTTTCCACGCGAAGATTAAAATATGAACCCAAAGACAAGACCAATTTTGATCCAAAGGACATGGTTTATACATGTTTTGTAGAAGACCACAAGGTGATGCAATCTGTGAGGATTGTAGTTTCTGCCAGGAAGCTTTTTAAGATTTCATTTTGTCTATTAGTTCTTGTAACCTACATATACATGGGGCTAATGAGTTTGTATAATAAATCTATTTATCAATATCAGTTAGTTTAAGATATATTAAAGAGACTTCTAAAAATGCTAAGAAAGCTAACAGTGTTCTGTGTCCGGGTACATTTGTGACATAAACCCACCCGTATCCCCTAAAATAAAATATAAAAAAATAAAGAAAAAAGAAATATATAGTAACAAATGATTTAATTTTTCATATAAAAATCAATACGTTATGTGAAAACTATAAACATATAAACATGAATGTATTTATTGCACTACGTACTGTTTGACAATTTAATAATTTTAAACTATCCGCCTATTCTATTATAACTGTATAAATACCGTTGTTACTCATGATATAGATTTATCACATATACTTGACGATCTTTCGACTCCGTAATAATTGTTTTGCACGGCCGTGCATATATTTTTACGTGACGTCATTTCGTTATACAAACATAGCGTAAAGAAGCACTGAATGTTAGCGTTACACTATAGGCGAGTCAATGAAAAATGTTGTTTTTTGTAATTTTCTTTATACTGATAACGTTGATCCACCATTTTTATTGTAGAATGTTCGTAAAACATGATTTGATGATTTTTATATGATCAAGTCAGAGCTGTCCACTTTTCGATATTTCAAAGAAAATTAACAGATATTTGCACAGTATATATTCGTCAATTGGAATGTTAATAATAACGGTGATAAATGTTACAAATGATAAAGCTATTTAACAAAATTTGTTTGTTGATGGTTCTAGAAAACCATACAAGTACATTGGTTGCACCACAGGAAGACTTCAAGACTTTGGTAATGTGTCTGACTCATTGGTTTGCAAGACAACAACACAACATTGCCCAACAACACGCCAATAAACAACAATCCTCGGCTAACTCTTGATCTCGTCGCTGTTGTGCCCTGTCGTCGTTATATACATACCTGAAATGTATGTCATACACTTGTTAACTAAATAAAATTATGGTAAAATAAATTTGAAGTAAAATAATCTTTTCTAGAAAAGTGATTGGAGTCAGGCTGTCGGTAGGTCGGTCGGTGGGTCGGTCCGTCCGTCCGTCCCTCCACTTCATGGTTTCCGGACGATAACTAAAGTTAGGAATGAGATTTTATTATCAACTGTTACAACAGCTTTTTAGTCTGTTAGATTGCTTGACTGGTCAATAGTGTACAAGATAACAATACTAAGTTAGAATGAGATTTATCAAACTGTACACAACTTATATAAAGTCCTGTTAGGATTGCTTTTGAACCTTCTGGGATCAAAGTTAGTGTTACTAAAGATAGAAACAAGATTGCATTTGTAAAAAATGCCATGCCACCGCATAAATACAACACTAAATAGTTATGTAGGAACACAATTTTTTTTGTTTCTTTACAGATTGCCATAATGCATAGATCTGTTACCTATCTGTTATTATCAGATTAATACCTTCAGACAATAAGATTTTTAACTTTTTACATTATGACTACGCTATGACATAATGACAGAAAATCAATGATCCACAGGGGCGGGGCCAATTTTGACCCCGTTGCTTTAATTTGAATAATCTTGCATGCAAAATGTCTAACTTCTAGCCTTTGTCAATTAGAGAAGATGATTTCTTAAAGTTTTTATATATATTGTCAGGAAAACCTATGACACCCGGGGCGGGGCTAGTTTTGACACTAGAGGCAAAATTTGAACAACTTTGCTAGAGTACCTATAGATGATATCATATACCAAATATCGAATCTCTAAGCTTTGTACCTTCAGACAAGAAGATTTTTAATTTTTTACTATATGTACATAGTGAAAATCAATGACCTCCGGGGGTTGGGTCAATTTTGACCCCAGGGCTATAATTTGTACAATCTTGCTAGAGGTTCACTACACAACGTTTCATGCAAAATATCTAGCCTTTGTCAATTTAGAGAAGATGATTTTTTAAGTTTTTACTATGTACATATAAGGAAAACCTATGACCCCCGGGGAGGGACTAATTTTGACACTAGAGGCATTTGAACAACTTTGGTAGACTACCTTTAGATGATATCATATAACAAATATTAAAGCTCTAAGCCTTGTACCTTCAGACAATAAGATTTTTTTTAAAAATTTTACTGTATGTACATATTGAAAATCAATGACCCCCGGGGTGGGCCCAATTTTTGTATAATTTGTACAATCTTGCTAAAGGTTCACTACACAATGTTTCATGCAAAATATCTAACTTCTAGCCTTTGTGAATTTAGAGAAGATGATTTTTTTAAATTTTTACTATATAAAAAAACCTATGATCCCCAGGGTGGGACTGATTTTGACACTAGAGGCAAAATTTGAACAACTTTGGTAGAGTACCTATAGATAATAACACATACCAAATATCAAACCACTAAGCCTTGTACCTTTAGACAAGAAGGTATTTTAGGTTTTTACTTTATGTACATATTTTGAAAATCATTGACCCCCGGGGCGGGGCCAATTTGGACCCCAGGGCTATATTTTGAACAATCTTGGTAGAGGTCTACCAGACAATGCATTATGCAAAATATCTAAGCTCTAGGCCTTTTGGGTCTTTACAAGAAGATTTTTTTAATTTATTCTGATAATTCCTTTTGGTTGCCATGGCAACCAGATTTCTGCATGGAATGAAATTCTTTGAACAAATTTGGAAGCCCTTCACCTGGAAGCCCTTCACCCAAGGATCAATCCTGCCAAGTGTGGTTGAAATTGGACTAGTGGTTTTTCATATGAAGATTTTTAAGTTCACTATATAATCTACAGAACACACACAGACACACACACACACAGGTGAATCGCTATATGCCACAGCATCGCAGATGCTGCGGTGGCATAAAAAGGTATCTGGACAATAACAAAGGTTAGGAATGAGATATTACAATCAAACTTGATATTTAGCAAGCTTTTATGAAGACCCCAGTTGGGATTGTTTTTGGACCCCTGGGGTCACTGTGGTTAAAAAATAAAAAAAGGTTTACGGATGATAACTAGATCCCTTATCTGGGATTGCTTTTAGACTTCCTTAGGGGACGGTCACTATTACTTAAAATAGAAAAATGGACGAAATATAGTTGGGAATGTGATATTGTAATAAATCTTGGCATTTATCAAAAAAAAAAAAAAAAAAACTTATGAAAATTCCTAGCTTTGGGTTGTTGTTGGATCTCTAGGTTCAAGATCAAGGTCACTGTTAATAAAAAAAAGAACAATGGTTTCTTGAAGATAGGCAATTAATTGTTATAATTATTGGTACACAGATGAATATCATACAATATTTGCTTGCTGTCCTATATAAGTCAGTTGTCTTTTCATTGTCATGCATGCACTTGCATCAGTGAAACAAACTAACAGTTCTGCAACCAATTTCATAAACGTTTAGTTAAATTTAATGTAAGCCAGTGCTAGTGTATAACATTTAGATTCTGACAATAGGTAAATATGTGTCAAATGATGATAACGACGTTTACATTAACAGTGGATCTGTGGTCAGATGGAATTCAAAGTTACGTTAGTAAACAAGATTAAAAACGTGTATATTAAAAAGTAATACCTACAAAATTGATTTTTTTCTATCATTAAGAGAAAAGTCAGAGCAGCGCATAGGACACCAAAGATAGCATAGGACACAAATGATAGCATGACGCGACTTATTCAATTCAATTTTTTAGGCCACTAGCCAATACACCAACAATATTCACAATAAACATTTATACCTACATATATTTTTTTCCATTATATTATTTATTCTTTATTATAGTCTGATCTATACATACATATACAATTAAAACAATATACATACAGTAAATTGTACAGCCATTATTTTAAGAGTTATAACAGACTGTTCTAGTTTATAAGAGGGGCAACTCCACAGTAGATTTACCTCCCTTATTTACATAATTATACCCATTTACATGTTAATATAAACACATCATAACATCTCTAAGACATTATAAGTAAAATAGCATATTCCAAGCATTGAATGTTAAACTTAATATAATTAAAATGTACTAATATTTTCACCGTATTTGTGATTTTGTGTTATAATATGTAAAAATGTTTTGTGTTTATTGTGATTATGAGTCATGCTTGTTGTGTTAATTACTGTAAATTTTCACTTTTTTGTGATTATGTATTATAATATGTAATTATGTTTTATGTTTATTGTGATGTATGGGCTGGTGGCCTGAATCATCTTAATAAAGAATTGAATTGAATTGAATTGAATATTTATATCTACAACTTAACTGTATGAATAATAACATTATGGTTGTTAATATTAAGATGGAAGAATGAAATCTCATTACTTTACTAAACCCGAAATGGTTGTCTCCTTATAAATGTATTAAAATCATTTATACATACATAATATATTTTATCTTTATACAATCTTAAAGTTTGGTAACAACCACTGCCCTCAACTTAAAATCTGCCATAAGGTATTCGTTATTAAAATACTGAGTTTAGTAAATGAGGCACTATTGCGCATAATAAAAAATGTCTTACAAAATCATATATCACTCATGGTCAGACCATGAAGGGACTGGTCAGTGCTGATTATCAAAACAGGAAGATAAAATTTTCTAGTTGGTTTAAAGATACATTTATAACATTTATACAAGTTTTTACCAGTACTAGTTCCCAGAGCAGAGGTACAGTGCGAATGACCGTAGAAAGGATTTCATGATCAATCACAACGAAAGTGACCTCTGCCGTCCGGGAATCGAACCAGGGTCGCCCGATACACAGTCCAATGCTCTACCTATTGAGCCAACCGGACGGCTACTAAAGCATTATTTCAATTATATCAAGATAATGTTCTTACCCAAAGACAGATTTAAATAGATAATAATATTTGCATTTGGTCTACTGCCCACTCCTATAAGTAAAATAGTTTTTTTTGCAACATATTGCTTTTCCCAAACATATCCAAAACCATTTCTGCCCAATTTTGATATCCTATACTTATATGAATATAACAACATTTTATAACATTTTTTAACATATCTGTGATCTGGTATATCTATAATTTTTAAACAGAATTTTATACAGCGTAACTAACATTAGATATCGTGCTAGCTGCATCAGTTACATCCATTGTTTATGCGACATGATGATAAACTTAGTTTCAAGGAGTGATTGCGCAAGAAGTGTAAACAATATTAAATTTGATCAAAGAAATCATATATGCATTTACTCGTATGTATTATTTGATAATATCTTCCCGTGTTTTCAAGCTGACGGTTTCTGATTCTGGCTTGTTTCTGTCCACATTGATAACAAAAACTGATTTCTCAATGAATATCAGAAAGTTATTTTTTTAGCATCCATTTAGATTATCGGAGCGTTCTAATTATTAAACATTTATATAAATGAAGTTGAAAAACATTCCCACCACAAAAGAAAGATGTCATGTGTAAATTTTTAATTTATATCATGCTTTGTCTTAAGAGACCGTTTTATTAAGCGATCGTTTTGGGTGTTTCCCTTGCGCGGTCGCATAATACAAGTTTGACTGTATACCATCACGAACTAGTTATGAATGTAACTATACCATCATGAACTTACACAGTTGTTTGTTGTGGTTGTTGCTGATATGGTCCTTGTTGAGGATATCCTGGTTGATAAGCCCCTGCCGGTGGATAGGGTCCATTATTATACTGTCCGGTCGCTCCGTATGGCGGTGGTTGCTGGGGGTATGGTGCCGAAGGATTTGTGTAACTCATCTTTCTTATAAGTATTCTCTCACTAAAATAGTGGTACAATTTCAACGAAGAGTAAAATGTAGTATGTTATATATAAATGTAACATGATCTATACACGCTTATCAGTTAATTAACATACACAAGATAAACAATACATGTACAGTATGCATATGATTTAATCCAACACATAAAGTATGGAGAATAATCATTATATTGTTACAGATGAGGAAGTACTTTACATGAAATATTATAAATAAATTTCTTACCGATCAATGTGTGTACATGTATATAGTGATAAGAAATATGTTCCAAATAGTCACTGTTTTACAATGGACGAATAAGCTAAACACAAAGAAGTTAATTTATTTCAACATTACATCCGTTTTAACATATAGTATGACTTAATGTCACATGACTAAAACAAAGATAAAATCTCACATGAGTATTGAATATCTTCCGTAAGGTCAAACAAAGTAATTATGTGTTTCTGACATTTAACGTTTTCACAGAGCTAGTTAGTATAAAGGTTTGAAATTAAAGTAATCATTTTGAATATTAACCACTGTATTTATCATATCTTGCTAAATATATAAAACTGAGTATTACAAGCTTTAAGGAATTAAGGTAAATATTGTACAGACGTAAAGTACAATCAATTGTTTTCTTAAACTATATGAAAAAATAAAAATAACTTTTGCAAATGATTTCATAAATTATATCATATTTTTTGGGTTTTCAATCACACAAACACGGTAAAAGAGAATGATATAAATATTTTAATATTGTTGTCACCTAACAAATATAATATTAATCACAATTGACCTTTACAGTATGACTGTTCACCAGCACATATAATAAAATATATGTAATATTGTCATTTACAGTTAAGTGTGACAAAAATAGTATTATAAAATATTTATAGCAACTTATAGCATTGATCTTTTATAGTTTAAGTGTGATTGTCTGATTGAACACCTACGGAAACGTATAGCGACCACCCCTATATGATATATATCAAACGACATTTTTTCATAGTTTTATAGTATGTTTGTTATATGTTAATATGATTTGAGGAAAGAAATACATATTCAAAAAGATGTAAGTGTATTATTTTTTCATTTCGTCAGAAAGTTAAAAGAAGTTAATCTTGCATTATAAGATAAAAAACGTACTATAGATTACGAAAAAATACGTATTATATATGATTTACAACATAACTTGATTTAATTGCTTCCTTTATAAATTGCGTGGGATTTTTCTGTCCTTATTATATTTAAACTGTAAAATATGTTATATTATAATAAAAAAACCTCAAATATATATAACTAATACATATAAATGAACAGAAAAAAAACTCACATAAATTTTAATCGAGCAATATTAACAGCAGATCGGGTAAAAAATATATATTCAATATCAAATAACAATTAAAATATCGGTCAAATATATATCATGTATTAAATAAATTGTTTAAAATTCTGTTTTACTAACATTCAAAGACGGTTTATATTACTAGATACATATTTCAGATCAAGTAAGTTTGTAAAAATTGGTTAGTTAAATAATATGTATTAAATAAATTGTCAAAAATTCTGTTTTTACTTACATATAGGGGTGGTCGCTATACGTTTCCGTAAACACCAAACAAATATAATAGGATAGATATTTATCAAATCAATTGCCAAGTTATTAACATTTTCTCATATACTTTAAGAAAACAATAAGTTGTAAAGTGTTGGCCTTGTTGGTGTTGGTGTAAATTTAATCCCAACAAATGTAATACGATATTTATAGCATAATGTGACTGAAAGCCCAACAAATATAAAACAATATTTATAACGATGACCTAAATAGTTTTGATGTAATTGAATACAACACATGTTGTATAATATATGTTTGGCAATTGAACAATGCATATTGTATTATATTTGTTGGGTTTTCAGTTACACCAGCACTGTAAAGGTCAATGCTATAAATATTGTTTTATATTTGTTGGGTTTTCAGTTACACCAGCACTGTAAAGGTCAAGGCTATAAATATTGTATTATATTTGTTGGGTTTTCAGTTACACCAGCACTGTAAAGGTCAAGGCTATAAATATTATATTATATTTGTTGGGTTTTCAGTTACACAGGCACTGCAAAGTTCAATGCGATAAATATTGTATTATATTTGTTGGGTTTACAGTTACACCAGCACTGTAAAGGTCAATGCGATAAATATTGTATTATATTTGTTGGGTTTTCAGTTACACCAGCACTGTAAAGGTCAATGCGATAAATATTGTATTATATTTGTTGGGTTTTCAGTTACACCAGCACTGTAAAGGTCAATATGATAAATATTGTATTATATTTGTTGGGTTTTCAGTTACACCAGCACTGTAAAGGTCAAGGCTATAAATATTGTATTATATTTGTTGGGTTTTCAGTAACACCAGCACTGTAAAGGTCAAGGCTATAAAATTTTTATTATATTTGTTGGGTTTTCAGTTACACAGGCACTGCAAAGTTCAATGCGATAAATATTGTATTATATTTGTTGGGTTTTCAGTTACACCAGCACTGTAAAGGTCAATGCGATAAATATTGTATTATATTTGTTGGGTTTTCAGTTACACAAGCACTGTAAAGGTCAATGCGAAAATATTGTATTATATTTGTTTGGTTTTCAGTTACACCAGCACTGTAAAGGTCAATGTGATAAATATTGTATTATATTTGTTGGTTTTCTGTTACACCAGCACTGTAAAGGTCAATGCGATAAATATTGTATTATATTTGTTTGGTTTTCAGTTACACAAGCACTGTAAAGGTCAATGCGATAAATATTGTATTATATTTGTTTGGTTTTCAGTTACACCAGCACTGTAAAGGTCAATGCGATAAATATTGTATTATATTTGTTTGGTTTTCAGTTACACCAGCACTGTAAAGGTCAATGCGATAAATATTGTATTATATTTGTTTGGTTTTCAGTTACACAAGCACTGTAAAGGTCAATGCGATAAATATTGTATTATATTTGTTGGGTTTTCAGTTACACAGGCACTGTAAAGGCCAATGTGATAAATATTGTATTATATTTGTTGGGTTTTTAGTTACACTTGCGCTGTCAAGGTCAATGTGATGAAGATTGTATTATATTTGTTGGGTTTTCAGTTAAACTAGCGCTGTAAAGGTCAATGTGATAAATATTGTCTTATATATGTTGGGTTTTCCGTTAAACAAGCACTGTAAAGGTCAATGCGATAAATATTGTATTATATTTGTTGGGTTTTCAGTTACACTAGCGCTGTCAAGGTCAATGCGATAAATATTGTATTGTATTTATTGGGTTTTCCGTAAAACAAGCAATGTAAAGGTCAATATGATAAATATTGTATTATATTTGTTGGGTTTTCAGTTAAACTAGCACTGTAAAGGTAAATGCTATAAATAATGTATTATATTTGTTGGGTTTCCGTTAAACAAGCACTGTAAAGGTCAATATGATAAATATTGTATTATATTTGTTGGGTTTTCAGTTACACCAGCGCTGTAAAGGTCAATGCGATAAATATTGTATTATATTTGTTGGGTTTTCAGTTACACAAGCACTGTAAAGGTCAATGCGATAAATATTGTATTATATTTGTTGGGTTTTCAGTTAAACTAGCACTGTAAAGGTCAATGTCATAAATATTGTATTATATTTGTTGGGTTTTCAGTTACACAAGCACTGTAAAGGTCAATGCGATAAATATTGTATTATATTTGTTGGGTTTTCAGTTACACTAGCACTGTAAAGGTCAATGTGAGAAATATTGTATTATATTTGTTGGGTTTTCCGTTACACCAGCGCTGTAAATGTCAATGTGATAAATATTGTTTTATATTTGTTGGGTTTTCTGTTACACCAGCACTGTAAAGGTCAATGCGATAAATATTGTATTATATTTGTTGGGTTTTCCGTTACACCAGCGTTGTAAATGTCAATGTGATAAATATTGTTTTATATTTGTTGGGTTTTCTGTTACACCAGCACTGTAAAGGTCAATGTGATAAATATTGTATTATATTTGTTGGGTTTTCTGTTACACCAGCACTGTAAAGGTCAATGTGATAAATATTGTATTACATTTATTGGGTTTTTAATTACGCCAGCACTGTAAATGTCAATTGAATAAATACTGTATTATTTTTCTTGGGTTTTCAGTTACTTCAGCACTGCAAAGGTCAATGCTATAAATATTGTATTATATTTGTTGGGTTTTAAGTTACACTAGCACTGTAAAGGTCAATGTGATAAATATTGTATTATATTTGTTTGGTTTTCAGTTTCACTAGCACTGTAAAGGCCAATATTATAAATATTGTATTATATTTATTGGGTTTTCAGTTACACTAGCACGGTAAAGGCCAATATTATAAATATTGTATTACATTTGTTGGGTTTTCAGTTACCCCAACGCTGTAAATGTCAATTAAATAAATACTGTATTATTTTTCTTGGGTTTTCAGTTACACTAGCACTGTAAAGGCCAATGTGATAAATATTGTATTATATTTGTTGGGTTTTCAGTTACTCTAGCACTGTAAAGGTCAATGTGATAAATATTGTATTATATTTGTTGGGTTTTCAGTTACACCAGCGCTGTAAAGGTCAATGTGATAAATATTGTATTATTTTTGTTTGGTTTTCAGTTACACTAGCGCTGTTAAGGTCAATGTGATAAATATTGTATTGTATTTACTTTTGTTTTTTAAAAGTGACCACCAAAGGAACATTCCTGTGAAGTTTGGATGAAATTGGCTTTGCGGTTGATGATATATTTATGGACGGACGCCCCACCGACGCTGCACGAAAAGCGATCACAAAAGCTCATCATGTCACTTTGTGATAGGTTAGTTAAAGAATCAGCAAAAATCAAACAAAATTTAGACATAAGGTCATTTATGAATGAAGATAAAGTTTAGTCTGGTCTGCTTGAAGGTATTGTCCGAAGGGTAGTTGTGGCAAAGTATGAAGACAATACAAAAAGAACTGAAAAAGCTATGATCATCTTTATAGTTTTGAGGACGGCAACGCTGCCATGACTGTAACAGTATCTCTATTCTTTTTCTTTGAAAAAAAAATCGAACTAAAAAATGACTGATGAGTCGAGGTTCTATGTGGACTTCACTGTCATGTTGGCATGCGTAATGAGTGCTTTCAGCCAGTTTGTATTGCAGAAAATGATCAATTTGGCGGAGGTTCAGTAATGGTATGGGTGCAGATAAGCGCTCAGGGGAAAATTGATCTACAAGTCATTTAAAAGAGCATATGTTAATGAATTTTTTTATGTTTAGGTACGACCATATGCAGGAGCTGTAGGTGATGATTTCATTCTTGTGTATGATAATACCAGTGCATATAGTGCAGTGTCTTGAACACGCTACAATTGTCTGGAGGGATTGCCTAGCAAGATCCTTGACCTAAATCCTATGCTTGGGAAACCTTATAGAAAGCAGTTTCTACCCGTTAAATCCAAGCATCTCTCAAGAGCTGACAGAGGAATTGGCTCATAATCATAAACTCAGAAGGCTTACAAGCAGCAACCGACGGCGATGCCAGGCCATAAACGATGCCTGCCTCCACTATAAACGCTAAAATTAGCTCAATACCTTAAATGTTGAATTTTACCAGACATCCATATTTTTAGGATGTCATCTTAATATGTTGATTTTTCTTCCCCAGGGATTTTCTACCATGTTTAGCATCAATAAACATTTCTACGATTTTTTTACATCAAATCAATGGCATGTATACTAACGATTCCCATACAAGAAATATTTGTTCATGTTTTCTCCTTTAAACACAAAACATATAACTTATAAAATGTTATCCTAAGCAAATTGTGACTAGTAACGTTATATAACCTTGAAATATATCTGAATGTCTGATGGAAGATGGATACATTAATAATAACAAGAAATATTGTATTTCAATTTCTAAGATATTTTATTGCATTTTCTTTCTCATTTTCATTTTCTCAAATACAAAAATGTAAGAATATTCCCACCTGCATGGTGACACACAAATATTCATGCATATACATTATATATAAATAGTTTACATATTGACTTAATTAAAATGATACAGAAATAGCCTGGCATCACAGCTTTCAAATAAACTATTGCATTTTCATTAAGGCATTATAGCAAGAATTACTGCTACAGAAAATACAGTGATAAGATAAAGACAAAAATACAAGATTCATGTTTTTTCATTCATTATATTGAAAAACTTTGTGCACATAGTTTATAAAAAGTAAGAGATGTGACTGTTATAATTTACAGTGAAATCGTCAATACATTTGCTAAATTTACCATTAATGTAAATATTATGTTTGAAAGTGAAGTGATAATTTTGTAAAATTTATAATTAAAAGAGTAGAACATATGCAGATATATTTACCCAAATGGCTATTCTGCAAAGAAAAAGAAAAAACCCTCTTAACACAATTAATTCTTCATGAAAAAGGAGTACATTTTTATAATATTTTGTATAAAATAATCATTTATGTCACTGGCCATTTTGTTCTCACTGGTTGATTAAAGGGACTCCATTGAGGTTTTTTGACATGAAGGGGATTGAAAATATTTTTTTCCAGATAAATGTACCATTTGATGTAGGTGTAGACCACAAATCTTTGTGCAAACTTTCAGATCATTTGCGCACTTTGTTTTTCAAGAATAATTATTCAAATTGTAAAAAAAAATGACCCAAAATGAAAAGCGTTTAAAGGCTTTTCACTCAAATTAGGCTAAGAAAAGCATAAAACTACGATTTTCGATTTTTTTAAAGTATATTAAATTTCTTTACTATCTTTGCATATACTTCTGTTTAAAGCACCCAGTTCATTTATGTAAGAAATTCTAATGTTATGTTTTCAGTGGAGTCCCTTTAAACTACAAAATATTTTATATCCAACTTGTATTCCATTTCAACTTTAAATTGTTTTATTGATTACCTTATTCCACATAAATTGGTCTGTGTTATGGATAAAACACCTTAGAAACACTATTGTTATTCATTAAACAGTAACATAAATATTTTTCTTTGATATATCAAATAATTTTTGGTACAGAGTACTGAAGAAGAGAAAAATCTTGTTTTGAAACTACCTAACAATTTATTCACATTAACTAAAACTCTTGAACAAATTATCAATGAAATTAAATATTTATACAACATGTAACATTACAAGGTATATGACATTGCAAACACCTGAAATGACAAAATTTGCTGATATTTGTCGCTAGAATTCTGATAAATAAAAGTCAAAATTTGAGACTGTGCAGAAAAATGAAAGTGCGAAAGTCGAAAAGAGACAAACAATGATGAGCATAGTTCTGAGAAAAGCAAATGACCAATTCTCTTAACAGTTCTGACAAACATTTTCAGTTATTAACTAGAAATCAGATAATTATTAAAAACTCAAGAAAGGTTACTCAATTGTCACTGACAACCTGATACATTTGAAGTTGTTTCCCTTGCATTAACAGGTAAATGATTAGTCTAACTTTGGAAAATGAAGTTAATACCCTCCTTGTCAAAGATAGGAAACTGTATGTGAAGAAGAATCAGCATATGACTAAGAGGTATTAATTTAAACTGAAAGATAAGAATCCTCACATCTTTGATAAAATCAGGAATATTTTCTGTACAGTATGATACCATACCAGCATACACCTGTCTTCATACAAAAATCATCACTACCAACTGATGTGCAGGGCAATATGTACTCTTTGAAGCATTTCCCTCATGTAGTCTAAAGATATGTAATTTCGTCTGCTTTGATTCTTAAAGTTTCTTTCAGTTATTGACAGTATATAACATGGCTGTATACAGTATAAATCCTGACATTAAGACAATCATGGATTTATAGTGCTACCTTAATTATGTGAGCATAGGTTATTCAACTTTGATACAATAATAACTTAAGCTAAAATAAAAGTAAGCCCAGATAACAACATGTTTACATAATAAGATGCATCTGATAAATTAGCATGTATATATCAGACCATTTTAAATATGTTGCTGATTAAATAGCAAAAAAAACAAACTGGAAAGTTCATCTAAGTCATTTACATATTTATAAAATGTGTAAAAAAACAACATTCATGTTAAGCACTATTAAAATTTCCAGATTATTCTCAACATGAGATACTGGTGCAAAAATATCTTTGTTTAAGTTCACTGACATACCAAGGTATTGTTTTCTACATTAGTTTTGGCATAAACTAACCTTTAAAGGCGGACACAAGAAACATTGTGTTATATTTTTGCAGTAGCAGGATCAATAATGAGACCATCAAAGTTCCACTTTATGGACTCTGTTAAAATGAAAGAGAAAGGAAACAGAGACCTGTGGACTGATGTCTGTAGTGAATCAGATTCCTAACAAAATATAGTACTATCTTAAAATCCCCATTTCCTGTTTAACTTCCATCTTTTATCTATAAAAGAAGATAAGATTTAATAGGCTCCAGAAAATATCCCACAATCTTAACCTACAATCTTAGTTCAAACAGCAACAAGAGTTTACAGGTAAATATAGGTATATACATGTACACTTCATTTATGACAGAGGTAAATTAAACTATCACAGTACACTAAGACTCAGTGCTATTACACAGGTTAAAAAAAGCAGTGTGATAGAGTAAAGCAAATAATTTAAAACAAAATGATAGCTTAATAACAGAGCTTAATAATAGTCTTTAGAGAGGAAGCAAAATAAAACACCTACTTTAATTTCAGTCATATCTCATAATCAATTCTCCCCGTTATAATTATAGTAAAAATAAACAGTATGTATACTTTTGTTCTGCAAATATTATTTTCCTATAAATTCTTGTAATCCGGTTACAATATCATTCTCTATCATCAGATCATAGTCATGACAATACTCCAATAATATATACCAATTGGAGTTGGCCACTCAAATTCAATGAGATAATTTCACCATTTATTATTATGAGATTGTTTCAACTTTGACAGTTTTGTCCTTGAACTTCTCCTCCTTTACCCTGACTAGCACAATCCTTCCAGATACATCACAGTACTGCCTATATAATGCCATATATCACTGTAATATGACTATGATAAGAAATGCACTTCTTCTGTTCATCATACAATACAAAAATTGCACTTTTTTTTACATTTTAAGGTCATTTAAATACAGCAGATTATCTACTGATCATTTCACATCAGTCCTTTGTGATTGTTGTAATGATAATTAGAAAATGACCTTGACCTGTGAGTCAGTTGATGACAGTTTATTCAGCAGTTTACCAGAATAAGTTAAACAACAACAAGTTGTCATATTTTATCTTCATTCTGCCAGATCAAATTCTAACATAGCATCAAGTTCATCTGTTAGGCCCTGTAACATATTATCAATTTCACTGAGCACATCTCCCGACTTCTGTTTCTGACCAGCTACTGGTTGTCTGCAAACATACAAATAAGTGAAATATACAAGTGAAATATACAAGTTCAACAAACTAGAAATGCTCAACTATAATAGTAACAGTTTAAATACACAATGCTTAACAAACTAGAAATGCTCAACTATAATAGTTACATACAAGGCTAAGAAAACAGGTTTAACAAACTAGAAATTTGATAGTTACAGTTTCATTAAATCCTACATTACGGAAAGTTGATAATTCATGTTAGAACATAAAAAGAGTTCTTCAGTTATGATTTATGATTCCAAACACAGGAGTGACATTAAAACTAAATACTTTCACAATTTAATAGGAAAGAAAGTAGCATACAATTTACCCCTACACAGACGCACATGTAAGTTGTATAGACTAACTATTCTTACTTTAACTAACAGATCAACTCCAAGCACAGAGTACTGTCTGTAGCTCAATTTTAGTTATTTATGTATCAAATCCATTAAACAAACAGTTCTACATTCAAAGAAGTAAAATACTTTATAAATGATAAAGAGTAACAGTTAGTAAATAAGAAGTAATTTACCCTTTAGCTTGTGGTTTAGGTGACACTGCTGGTTTTACAGTGGGTTTCTGGGGGACAGACGGACGTACAATATCTGAAATTAGAACAAAGAGATAATTTTTATTTCATGCTTTGCAGTGTTTTATTGTAATATATCAGATGATTATATTCTGATAAACCACTAGTGAAATTTATAAAATATAATTTTCACAGTAGCCGGACTATTTCTGAATGCGGATGAAAAGAAAATCAAACTTAATGGAATTACAGGCAGAAATAAATGCTGTCATACGTAAATTTTGCTTCTTTAGGAAAAGAAAGTTGATGTCACCATACATCATGTTAAAAATGTAACAAATTTAGATATATTTAACAGAACTATATTTCAAAATTGATGATGTGACGTCACAATGTGATGACGTCACAAAGGAGAATGTGTGACGTTACGCGGCAAAATCAGAAAAAAATACTTAAAATCACTTAAAAAGCATGAAATAAAAAGAAAATTTATTTGTTTTACATATAAGATTGAAATATATTTCATTCTTGAACACCAGCTATTATATTTTCACTTGTGGCTACGCCACTCGTGAAAATATTGCATCTGGTGTTCACTCAGTGAAATTATATTTCAATCTTACATGCAAAACAAACAAATATCCTCTATATAATAATCTGAACTTACATTTACATATATATCTTCATTTTTATTTCAGACACAGGGGACATACAAAATAAATGCTTTTTAATCAAGATAGCTTTCTGTAATGACCTATTTTAGTAATGACCTATTTCTGTAATGACCTATTTCAATAATGACCTATTTCTGTAATGACCTATTTCAGCAATGACCTAATTCTGTAATGACCTATTTCAGCAATGACCTAATTCTGTAATGACCTATTTCAGCAATGACCTAATTCTGTAATGACCTATTTCTGTAATGACCAAATTCCAACAGTCAATGAAAACTTACAGGAGAGAACAACTTGACACCAGGCATCTTACAATACTAGAAACCTCTGATGTAATAATAATGCCCAGCTTAAGCAGATTTAGTTTAGTGCATGAGAATATAATATATAAAGTTTTAAAGTGTTTCTCTATAGGAGGTCAATGTGAGGAAACTATATGCTGATACTTCAAGGGAGTTATAGTTTATAATATAAGCATTTCACACAAAGTATCACATATGTTACGATAAAAAACTGACAACAACATATTTTTCACAGAAAGTTTAAAAAAAAGATCATAAAATTTAATGAAGAGCAAATGCCTCAATTATGCTTTTCTCAGAAGTTCAAAGAGATTTACCATTACTTGAAATATCTGCAAGTTATAATGTTTATTTTTCTCGTTTTAACATGCAATCACATTTCTAAAACAGCATGAAAAATAAAATCACGTTACTGACTAATCTGTTTGTTATGAATATAAAAGTAATGTCATTTCTGACAACCACACAAAGTTAGATTTAAAACATGTGATAAATATTCTTTTACTATAATTTACAAAACAGTATGGCATGGTAAATCTGATCTACATCAAAACTGCAGTTTCTCATTAATTTAAAGGCACATAATGTCTCAGTAACAAATAATCTTTTATGTATTTAGAAAGGGCAAACAAGAATTTGAAAATGTTTAAATAAAGGTTTTAGAGCATGTTAGCTGCTTATCACCTGAAGAAAATAGCACTGAATGTGAGAATATTGATCATCAAAGTAACAAGATGCAAACAAAGTAGTATTTTGACTTCAATACAAAATCACTATAATTGAACTTGGTCCCAGACAGCAACAGACACAAAATATGATTCTGGTGATTGGCCAATAAGTGATTTTTTGAAAACTGTAACAGGACACAAAAAACTTTTCAGGAATAAAATAAAACCAATTCTGAAACATAATGAGCCTTTATAATAATATTATATAATTTAAAAAAGTGAGTACTTTCAGTGGTGACAATTGCTCCATGTGAAGTCTGACAAGTACTGCTGGTTGCTCAAAACTATACTCATGTTGTACCATCAAAAACAGAAAATATTTTAAATGCCATTTTAAGCAAAAAGATTAATTTACAGAAAATGAAGGAAACATATTCACATCCCTTACCTTTGCTAGTATTTTGTGGGGATGACTGTGCCCCTGGTACAAAACTGGCTGTTACACTCGCATTATACTGTTGCTGGGGTTTATGTTGTTGGTTCGCTAATAATTTCTGCTGTTGTGCAGCAAGTCTATCCTGCTCTGTCTTCTGCTGTTGTTGCTGGTTATCCTGTTGTTGTGACTTTGATTGTGGTTGTTGCAGCTGATTATTTCCTTGTTGGTTTGGCTTGGGCAGTACTTTTGGTTGCTGCAGTTTTTGTACAGTTTGTTGTTGAGGTTTTGGTAACTTATTTGGTGTTCGTTTAATAGTGTCTGTATTGTCACTAAAAGATTGTTCAGTAGTATCTTCCTCCGTGTGTGTTGTACCATCATCCAATATCATGACTAGAGATGGTTTACATTGCTGAGCCCTTTGCTTTATTGTGCCAACATTTTCATTTGCAAATGGTAAAGTGTTAGAGTCCAAACTTGATGTTGAAGAACTAAGATGTAATTCTCCCTTACCACTTCCTGTTGAATCTTTCCTTTGTTTGTCTTTATCATCAACTTGACCATTAGATTCTTTGGTAACATTTGTATTTTCAGTTTGTTGAACACAATTTTGAGCATTTTGTACATTTACACCATTTTTGTCCTGAACACTGTCTTGTGAGACAACTGCTTCAGTCTGGTTTACAGTAACTATACTTTCACCAGACTGGTTTTGTGACTGAGACTCTGTTTTAGCTTGACGCAACTTGACACCAAAAGCACTTTCGACACCATTTGATGTCGGACTTGAACTTGAAGAACTTTCCCTTTTCAGTCTTTGTTGTAACATGTACTCTCCTGAACTTATTTTGTCTGATTTCCCTAACAAACCATAATTTGAAATTTTTGGTTCAATTATTTCCATGGCAACTAAAGGTGCTGGAGGTAAATCTTCATTGTCTGAACTTAAATTATCACCAGCACTATTCTCCTCACTTTTCTTTCCAAAACGTTCTGAAAGACTTTGAACACAATTAACAAATGCCTGTGCTTGAGGAGTGGAAATCTGAGGTTTTTGTTGAATTGGGGGCGGAGACAACACAGAAGTCATCCCGGGACTTGTAGACGTTGTCACATTATGACTCGGACTAACTGGGCCATTTTTGTTTGTTGTACTTTCATTTTGACGTAATGAAGCATTCCTCTTTGGTGGGGGAGGTGGGGCCTTTTTAGCTCTGCCACCTGGAGAATTCTGTTGTGAATTTCTTGGTGAATTACTTTGTTGATAAGAATACGAGAACTGAGTTGATACATGTAAAGGACTAACTGGTCCAGTAAGGACCTGATGCCCTGACATTGGAGGATAATTCACATAATTACTAACTGTTCTAGGGGTACCCGTCTGAGGAGTATCATAAATATGCTCTGATGTTCTTCGCTTTAAACTTCCATTTGTAGCAAGGGGATACTTAAAACCTTCCAGACTCTTTACAGGGCTTTTGTATCCATCATTATTTCTTTCAGCCTCATGTTTTTCTACATCTATAATATCAGGTGAACCTTCTCGACTAGGCTGTTTGGATTTAGCCACAATCATAGCTACAGGTTTAGGTTTGGCAGCAACAACTGGAGCAACTGGATGTGCTCCTGCCATTGGTGAACTAGACATCTGATAGTCATCACCAGTAGGTGTGTTCTCTCTGTCTGAATAATCCGAGGTTCTATCAGGTGGTGCATGAAATGATTGACACATCTTCTGGTGAGTTCCACTATCTTTACCGTCTGCCATCCCATTAGGCGCAGACTGTGACATTGACCTTTTGACCTTTATGGGCACAATAGCAGGTGGTTTCTGATGTAAATGACTGGTATTAGCATACTCATTCTCAAGTGGCTGGCTTAATGACTTCATTTCTCCTCCACTGCTGTTAGTGCTGAGACTATCCCCAGAGGATGACCGGCGAGGTTTCAGATACGGTGGTAATTCATTATACTGGGGTGGTGCTGGTGGTGGCGGTGATGACCTCTCTCCTGACCACCTTATACTAGCCATTGGAGGTTCAAGCACTTCTGTTCCCTCACGACCATCTATTGTTGACAATCTTTTTGTTCCCGACAAAATCCTCTTCAGTCGGTCTATAGCTAACATGATCTTCTTTTGATGACCTGAAAATACATCAGCATATCTTTACTTGTCAATGTCATGTAACATTATATCATAACATACTTAACACAATGTTTTAAAATATGACCAGATACCTTTATTGTTGGGTTTATATCACACCAACAGAATATAGGTTTTATGGGATTTTCCCAAAACTTTCGGGTTTGGGAAGACCTATGGCCCCTCTGTACATCATTGGAAAACGGGCACCTAGTGAACCACAACCGGGTAGCTAGCTGTAGTTTTCACAGAAAATCCTAGTGTGAGACTAAAAACCTCAGTTTAAAGGCAAGTGTTTGAAGTCAAAAATTAAGCACTCGGAAAGGAGCCCAGATGAAAACTTAGGGGTTTGAGGACCCAAACATTTATGCAAATCTTCGCGGGAAGTTTTTGGGGTTTTGTAAATTTGTTAAAAATCTTTTTTTTCTTAGAGTTTTTTACAAAATGTTAAAAGTTACAAAAAATATTAACGGAATTTTTCTGTATTTTAATAATTAAATAAAAACATCATAGGTTATGGGTTCTACGTTGATCCACTTATGATTTTAAAAGTCATGATTTGTTTCTTTTATCTTTCTGTGGAACATGCTTACACATGTTTAATAATGTTGTAAAAGCAAGTTACATGTTATAACTTCAATGTCCATACACCTGTAATAAAAAGTTTGTAAACAAACAACATCTTTTTTACCTAGCCTTTGGATTCCAATTTCTTCCAGGTCCTCCCACATAATGTCTGTTACATAATCAATGTTATCATAGCCCTGATTGGCTAACGTGTTATAATACTGCTCTAAGTTCAACATTCTCAGCCAGTCATAAAGATCATTCTAAAAGAAACAAGTTTTTTTTTATATACTTTTAAAATAACCATTGAACTTCTTCTAAAATGCTGTCAGTGGAAAGGTTCAATCTAACTGAGCCTGCAGCATTGTGAATTTTGTTGTGATGTGAGAACCTTCTATGTTGGACTTTATCTATTTTGATCTATATTTGGCTGATTCTAAATCTTGCTGATTATATAACAATATTGTCAAAAACATTTCTTATAGTTTATTCAGTTTTCAACAATAATCTAACCAGTCCATACACAAACTAATGCCTAAACATGACCAAAACTTGTCACTTCACACCCTTATACCTGAACATTACCCTAATTTGCCTGTCCATTTCCTAAATTTCTTATATATTCCTAACCTGCCTGTCTTCACCTTAATACAGTAAAGTGTGGACAGACAGGTTAGGGAAATGTTGAGAGAACTTATCTCTTAGATGTCTAATGAAATTACATGATTTTATCACAAAAGTATTTTCATCAAGAAATATTTGTACTTACAGGTTTAAAATCTGGTATGCCATCATGAATATTCAGTCTGGCAATCTCGGATTTTAACTTTTTTCTGTGACCCGGCTTTGATATGCCAATGGCTGTGAGATCCTATATTGAAAAATAAAAATTCATGTCAATATACAGGCTATTCTAAATGTTATAATTAGAAATCAATGTGGACTAATTCAGCTTTCCTTTTTATTGCCTGATTGTCATATTCTACTTTTTATGACCTTTTCTTACTTATTTGAATAGAAAATATTAAACACACAATCATATTATTTCATGGTCATTATGTAAGAAAATTTGTGTCATGATCAAATACATAATAAAACAAACTTTATATAATTGAATGAATATTTCATCAATTGTATGATGAGAATTCAATAATTGATTTAAATATTTTTCCACTTGTAGTGACAGAAATGTTGACAAGAAAAGACCATCAATGTACTGTTAGTATTCTATCTATAAATGTATAGAGCCAAGCCAGCCTGCATAGTCTATACTATAGGTAACTTAATTTAAAGTAAATGTCATCGTGACTTTTGACCAACTGAACACAAAATCAATGGGGGCCATCTACTGGCTCGTACTCCTTACAGTGATTTGATTGGCAGTGCTTCCTTAATGTCACAAGACTAGAAATTGACATGTGACTATTTTGAAGGCTACACCATAGAAACTGGCTCAGAGTTTTGCTGTTTTCCAATGACATGCTTTTACACATTTCTATTGTTTCAATTTGTTTTTGTTTTACATTCAGTTTGGGGAGATAAAAAGAATGTTTGCATGTGAGTCATCAATTCTATGCACTTATACAATTATGTAAACAATGTATTACAATGTTATGATGTAAATTTTCCAAACTGAATAAAGATAACCAAATAGCATTATAACATCCAGCAAATGTAGCAACAATAATCAATAAACAACATCAATACTGTGTTAGACTAGGATAAAATAAACCCTGGCATTTATACACATTTTATGACTCCCTTTATAACATAGACGAATATTTAATGCATATATTATCACACAACCACAATTGTGTATTGACAGTTTCATTCTTACACAAAGGAATTTCCTCATATTATATAACACATAGTTTAGCAGACACACATGTCTACAACAGTTTATTTAATAAGTATGCAATTTTTAATGTATTAGAAATAACAAGATAATCTATGCATACTATTCTCTATAATCATAAAAATCACCAACACTTTCTGACAAAGTTGCCTATTTATACAGTATAGGTGATTATATAGCAAAGAAATAAATGTTACCTGAGGTGTCATATGTGTAATTGTGGGCATGTCATATCCGGCTGACAGAAAATTCTGGTAATACTCTTCATAGTTGAGATCCCTCAACCAGGCCCGCAACACTTCATGGTCCTTTAAAATATATTATTTCATTATTACATATTTCATCCTCTACATTAAATGTCAAATGATCATCAATACTGTATATTGGGTTAATATTTTTGTGAATATGAATTCTGCAAAATTATAAATATACGGTTACCATTTATACACACTCATACAGGCTATTTATCATATTTAACTATTTCAGTTATATTAGTTGCATTCCTCATCGATATAAAGTTTCCTACCCTGGGATTTCTATGTTTTCTTTCCTTCTCCAAACTGATTGAAATTGAGGAGAAAATGAAGCATTCACCTTTACCATTTATTTAAAACTAGATACATCAAGAACTAGACTTCCTTTGGTGGAACCAATGAAAATTGATTAAATTCTTAGAATATAGCAGTATTTACTTCACCAAGATAAATATCTGGCTTTTGTCTATAATATAAAGTCTAGAATTATCTTGCACTTATTTCATGTCAAAAAAGAAACTATTACAGGTTATTTATCTATTGATTTTCCTGCACTGGCAATGTTTCTCAGGAAGTAAATGGGGTACAACTACAGCACATAATGTTATATTACTACTATAAAATAGCTTACACTGTGCAGCAAATGTACACATAAAATAATTATATATATATATAGCTAAAATAGCAGGTTACTTCATCAAATGATCTACACTGCCTGTGTACATTACTGCATCTTTTACAAGAAATGAAAAATGTTCTGCCTTGTAACAAATATCTTTTCTAAATCTTTAGTATACATTTTGAGAGAAATAAATAACTTGGAAACTAAAGTCTATAAACTATTCCTTATCCAAACTGAGAAAACCCCCTTTGTTTGCATTCACAAGACTAGATTACAGACATGATCTCAATAAATTACACAAGTCATAAAACTCTTCTTTAATATATCAGGCCAATTATACCCAATTAACATGATGATCTGTATCTCTGCCTAAGTTTCAGGTAGACACAAGTGGTTTACAATCTTTCTTATGTTAAAGTCAAGTCAGATTCTGAGAGAACTGGTCAACTACATATATCATGTAAGTAAACAAAATAACTAAATAATAATTAATGAATTAATTAATTCATGAATCCTATATGAATGTGGAATCCAAGTCATGAGTCATTACTTTATTCTACATATTATATACCCATTACATGATGAATTATGTCACCTCTGTTACATAACAATACAATGCTTAATCTTTTATAGAGTAAGTCCAACTGAGGCAATGCAACATGCTATATCTTAAGCTACTACATATATATGATTATTAATTTGTTTTGAATGAATTTCAGTTTTAAAGTATATTTTGGCTCTTGTCACCTACATATACATCAGACAGGAACCATTTATATAACTCTTGTAGTAACGGCAACCCAAGGGTCATTCCTGTGAAGTTTGGTCAAAATCCACCATGTTCTTTAAGAGAAGATGTTGTTTAAAAAAATTGTAGATAACAACAAATATTAAATGAAGGTGGATGGACACACCACCATCACAAGAGCTCACTTCTGAGCACTTTTTGCTCCAGTGAACTAAAAGGAAAACAAATACACCCCTTTATCGGATGATTCATCGTCATGCCCTGGTTTTTGATAACACAAAATTTCTTCAATGCACCAAGTGTCTTTATACAACTGTCTAGACAATTCTGTTGTTTTAATTACTTGAGAAATTAAGCTCAAAGACATTTCCATAATCAGGGTTTCGCAGTCATAAGTTAACAGTATAAAATCAATACTGTATATACAGTGTAGGGATGGATCTTCATGTAAAAACTTGCTTTTGGAGAATGTTCCACAATAAACCACCAGGTCAATTAGTATGGCATTTATTTCCCTGTTATAAAATCTCTCATGAGACAAGACCTTTTGTTTTTTTTTCTATCTAAGAGATGAATTGATGCATAATTTTTGCTGATTTTAGGAAAGATAGAAAAAAGTGCCAGATAAACATCTTATTACAAGCTTTCATTGACAGATATAAAACAAATTTAAAATGCTTTGATGAATACAAAGATGAACCTATGAGCTTGTGAACATCAATAGATGGGAAAAAATGTTTGTTTATGTAAGTAAATAACTCTGATGTCACATTTTTTCTTTTGTAGAAACATCTAATCTAGCTTTCAATTATAAACTGTCCATTGCAGAATTTATGAATTTCTAAAATTTCCAGAAAGCATGACTATAACTGATAAATCTCAGGTCAGATATTACATACAGAGAACTGATCTGTCATAATGAAACAAATACTGATGATGTTGTTATAGGAAGTTTGCCTGGCTGTCTAACGATGGTATAAGCTAGCTATATTTAGAATAAATCTTACAGGAACACCAGCTTGGAAGAGCTCCGCCACGTTTATCTGACTAGAGTACCCACTTTCTTCAAGTCTATCTAGACTGCCCACACTGGAGCTTGATGTACTGTGATAACTCTGACGTGATGATACACCACTCTCATAACTTGTACCTGATAACCTGTACTGATTGTTTACCTGTACATTAACATAGTTGTGGTGCACCTGAAATATATAACATAATGTATTAGACCAGTTACATACAAATATATATCATAATGTATCTTATTATATTAGATAAAGTTTCGGTCACAATAAAACATTTTAAGTCTTCAAATAGTAGAACATTATATTCCTGTTACTTAATGTATGCAGGGTATGACAGTTCAATCAACCTTGTTATCGCCATAAACAAAGTAAACAGTCAACAAACATTTCTCCTTGATGTTATGCTAACACACTAATTACCTATAAAACCAGAATCATGTATCTGTCCGGTCTCCAATTTTGACAATGGTCCAGCTAACCAGCTTCCAGAATGAACTACAAACTTCAAGTTTGACCCTCTATTATTTTTTCGCAATTCTTATGATAGTTCTAAGCCTGCTTCAATATATGCAATCCACTCATTCTCAATTGACCTTTCTGCATACATGTATATGCTTGTTAAATTTTTTAAAATAATTTGTATCTTATAACAAGAGCTGTTGTCAATATGATATGACAGCTTGCTCAACTATTCTCAGCGCCTGATAGTAAATTATGTAGAATTTTGTAAGTTGAAAAGGGCCATAATTCTGTCAAAATCACTGTTAAGAGTTGTGGACCTTCTATTATGCTCTCAAATAAGTGTGAAGTTTAAATCCATTCTATCCAGTAGTTTTAAAGGTATTAACTTGCATGGACAAAGTTAACCAAAGTGTGACATTGAGGTAGGGGTGAGTACAACAGCTCTCCCATTTCTTTTAATAGCCGAGTCTGCAATATGTTTTCAACATATCAAAAGTTTAATATGAATCAAGTATTAGAGAGGTTACCAAATCATAAAAAATTCATTATACAAAAACAAAACGAAGGTCATTTCAACCAATACTAAAACCTGTTCCTGACAAACTAACATAGCATTATAAATTATGTTTACATTTTTAAAATTTTTACATTTAATTTATGGCTATATCAGCTGCCATCCTTGTTGTAAAAGCACACTTTTGGTATTTTGGGGTTGAAATTAACCAGTAACATTTCAACATGACAATATCATCATGTAAATATAGAAACGTATTAGAGTTCAGTTAAAATAGATAATTAATCTATTGAAGCTCATAAAGCTTACTTCAAGTGTTGATTTATCACCTATACACATTCAAAATGAGCAATATTAATTGATTTCACCATTATTGGTATAAAACCAATATCTAACAAAAAATAAACACATAGAAATTCCTTCCCACACAATATTTATTCTGTATTCAGAGTCCAGTATCAGTAATGTCAATATTATTTTCATTTTGTCCGGAACACTGACAATATTACTTGAGAATTTTTCAATAATCCACAGAAAAAACTGCTGAATATCAATATTCTCCTTTTTCATTCAAAGTTAACAGGAAATGAGTCATAGTGGCAGCATGAAATTGATTGGAATCTAGGTCAGATATCAAAAAGATGTCATATAAAATAAGACGTATTTTGTATGAAAATGTGCATAACTATATCCTCCTTGAGTTTTACTAAGAATACACTACTGTAAGTTCTCACAATGGTTTATATAATAGATATCTTCATTCTAGTTTTTTTAATTGATCCCTTTATTGTCATACTATTTAGATAAATATGATCATCAAAGAATAAAGATGCAATACATACTGTTATTTTATGATGAAATCTACTTTTATATCACCTAGTCACCATCTCTTTTAAACTGTTATTTGAAGGCAGAATAATTGTTCCAAACAACAGATAATTAATGCAGACAGAAATTCTTCAAAAGACAAGGATGTTATTATTTTCTCATTAGCTAAAACTTGGGAGACAAAAACTTGACATAAAATGTGTTTTTGTGCACAGTTTGTCCACAATAACAGTGTCTCTCACTTTAGATTAGTTGTTTTCATCTCTAACAAACAACAGGCTATTCCAATTATGATGCAAACTTATCATACAAATTCCAGAAGTGGCAGATAAAAAATATAATAAGCAATGAAACTTGATTTCCCATGATGCATCTCCTTTAATTCAGCAAGACCTACACCAAGTTTTCTCTTTTAAATTATGTAAAATCCTTTATCCTTCCAACAAAATTTTTGTTGAATTCAACACTTGAATAAACACATTTACCTGGTGTGCACTATAATCTTTTCCTACATTTATACACCATTTTGTTTAATTCCGGCAATTTGGTTTAATTATCCAGCAGAAAAGAATTGACGTCTGCTTCAATTTTCTAGGAACAGAAAACTCATATTATAGATAGAGAGACATGCTGTGGTTTAATATTGCTGGTGCACTAGAATAGCTGTGAAAGCACTGGTCTTATCTATGATCAATATCTTCTAATATTGCTATACGGTCAACTCTTCCCATTACAAAACCAATATCTCTTATATAACAATTTTAAAATATGATTTTATATTAAAGTTTATTCAAAGCTTCCTTATTTGGTTATTGACATAAAACTAAGTGTCCATAAATTTCATTATTTTATGTGAGTTAAAGCCAGAGAACAAAAACAACTGAGCTTTACTGATAAAGTAGGCAGTTCAATCAAAACTATTTATTATTTTCTCAAACATTAAGGGAAGAAAATAACCTACATTTATATCTTTTACATGCTTTAATAGCAAAGACTAGCAGTCATTTCAATATTATATATTTATCACTCTATTATTCATTTGCAATGCCATGGAAAATTCTAAATAATAAATGATCCCTTTTCTTGCCATGTAAGCAATATTACAAACAGACATTAAGGGAGAAATCATTATATAATCTCCAAACATCAAGTGTACAGTCAGAAATTATTTATGAATATTTAAAGCCTCTAGAAGCTATGATATAAGGACTGATATAACAGAATTACGATGATTGAAAGATTAATTAATGAGATCTCAAAGAAGAAAGCAACAATAATAAGATTACAAGAATAATGAGAATACTACAAGTTAACATTTACGATGTCCCTGTAGAATACTACACCAAATATCCATTATACAACTCAGATAAATACAATTTGAATAGAACAAGCTATTGCCATGTCTCCCTGGAATTAGACATATAACCTTTTACCTCAAATATCTAACTTCCTTAAACTAAATAATAACATATATATATCAGCTGTGAATTTTGAAGAAATGTGAAGCAGATGAAGAATGAACTGGTGTCAATGAAAGCCCCACTAAGTCCTAGAAAAACTTAACACTCAGTTTATATATGTATACATTGTAACTTTCAATGTAGCTGTCAGGTAAACAGCAGATTTATAAATGAACAATATATGTATCACCTAAAAATCACTATCTGTATCTTACCAGTTTTTAATAAAAAATCATATATACAATATAATAATTATGTTAGTAAGCATTTAAAAGTAAAAAATAAAATATTCATCATACTGACTTACTTCATTTTAATTTGAAAGTAGCAAACACACGTCAGCACACTAGATTATGTAGACAATCTCCATGTCATTTAAATAATTAATTATCTATCTGAATTATTTTAACTAGAAACTAGATTTCTCCTGAAAAGTCCTTTTAAGTTTAACCAACAATGTCAATAAGAATGTACATTCAATGACCTTGTGAAAATATTGACCAGACTGACTTTGAAGGAAGGTTATATATCAAAACTTTATTTCTACCTTAAAAATAGTCATCCAAACTATACTGACTGTTGTCTTTTATTGGTATATAATTAACAGAACTTTCTACAAAAATGAAACTTGTATAATTATGAGTGATGTTATTACAGTAGTTCATTATTCCCACTCAACCTTACAAGAATGCCAAAATGTCTAGAATTAGTCCCAGAAGTCTCCTTCATTTATCTTCTCTAGTTGGTCAATATGTTGTCTATATACAGTCTATTCTATTTCCACTAAAACAAACATTGACTTTGGCCTGTTCTCTTTTCACAGAGTCCCACTAGAACAATCTGTTTATTGTCAGTGAAAATTTCATTTTACTTACAAAAGAATATCTAACCAGTTTTGTTCAGTAAATACAAAGCTCAGATAACCAAGATAACAATCTAGTAGCTTAATGCACACAATTCCAATAAATATGTATAAAATCAATTAAAAAGCTATAATAATAAATTAGTAATCAGTGTGTAGCCTATAAAATAACAAGATCAATTATTATAATGAAAGCTATAAACAATCCCAGATCCATTATGTTCAGTGTAAACATGGTTTGGGGACAGTACCATCAACCTATCAACATCGACTTCACTGGAAATCAGTAACAATTCAACCAATCAATATTCAACATCAACCAATCAACATCGTCTTAACTGGATCAGTAACATCAACCAATCAACTTGGTCTATGCTGAGGGACAGTAACATCAACCAATCAACATTGTTTATGCTAGGGACAGTAACATCAACCAATCAACATGGTGCATGCTGGGATCAGTAACATCAACCAATCAACATGGTCTATGCTGGGGACAGTAACATCAACCAATCAACATTGTTTATGCTAGGGACAGTAACATCAACCAATCAACATTGTTTATGCTAGGGACAGTAACATCAACCAATCAACATGGTGCATGCTGGGATCAGTAACATCAACCAATCAACATGGTCTATGCTGGGGACAGTAACATCAACCAATCAACATTGTTTATGCTAGGGACAGTAACATCAACCAATCAACATTGTTTATGTTTAGGGACAGTAACATCAACCAACCAATATGGTCTATGCTGGGTCAGTAATATCAACCAATCAACATGGTCTATACTGGGGACAGTAACATCAACCAACCAACATTGTCTTTGCTGGGGACAGTAACATCAACCAATCAACATTGTCTATGCTGGGGATAGTAACATCAACCAATCAACATTGTCTATGCTGGGGACAGTTACATCAACCAATCAACATGGTGCATGCTGGGTGAAGTAACACAAAACAACTTTTCAAAAGGTCATACTTTATGTAAAACTATAACATTCATTTTATTTAGTAGTTCTTTCCTTAAAAAACAATTTCCAGCAGAACTGCAACAGATAAAGACAGAAAACTACATGACAGACCTTACAACTCTTCAACAAATATTTAAACACCACTTCATCTAGAGAAAATCCACATGAACAAAATATTCCATAAACACCATCACATCACTCAAAATCAACAAATAGTCTCATTTTATTCCACTTTGTTTCCCCCAAGTTATACAAAGTCAATCAAATCTGATGTTTTTTAAGAAAATCACAAGACTAATCTGTGTCATCAACTGGCTGTACCAGTCAAACACTTGCATAATCCAGACTGAGAATGTAATAAATTTGTTATCACACAGCTCATTGGTTTATAAATATCTGATCCTCATCAAAAGAATGAATTACATGCTTTGTCAATCAGACCTGACTTTAAATGTTTCAAAAATGCACCTGGTGGTTATATAATCAGCTGTTACATGAATTACGTTTAAAGCAAACATGACTTTCAATGAAATAGAATATGTTGAAGCAAAGATAACTGCAGACATGTAACATGTGTTGTTTTTCTACTATCTTGTCCTGTGTATTTCAATCAAGGAAAAGTTTGGAATTTGTTCAAAAAGAGGTCAGGATATAAACCATCAGAAATAACCAGAACAGAGAGTTATATCATGTTTAAATATATGACTTGATTATACACAATTGATCTTTCTTTATATGAGATGTTGATTTCTGAGAAAATTCTAAACCTTTATGATGATTCTCCTAAATAGCAACAAAAATAATATTTAAAATACTTGTATCTTGTGAATAAGGCAATTTTTAAAATGGTTTGCCTGTAGTAAGTAGAAGTAATTTTTATCAAAAAATCAACCTTAAAAGACATAATTTATACCTAAAAAGAAATGAGTTTTTGCAGTTTATTTATATAGAAATTAATGAGAAATAAAACTTCCAGACAAGTGATGTAATGTGACATAAACATGCAACAAAATATTACTATAAAATTCTTATATTTATCCATACATCTCTTAGACATCATTTATAATATTTGTTAGTCTGTTAATAGTTGGTACCGTACATGATGTTAAATGTCAAATAAATATCTTACTAGATATCAACAATCTGTAGCTATGAAACTGTCTATATACTTAAACCAGCATATCCATCTGACTTAATTAAGTAATCCAAAAGTCATATCCAGTTCACTGTAGCATTATTATCACCTATATATCATTACCACATCTGATTTAATTCCATGCCATGAAATTGGTTGCCTTAATTTAGAAATGTTGCTAAGACGCCAATTTGACAGTTATGATGACTCTCAACTCAAACCAACAAAAAGTTTCAATCAACCATTCTAATAAAAGACGTAACTTGTCAGATGTAAAACACAAATTGTATATTGAATGTATAGAAATCTCAGAACAATTACTAGAGAGAGAGAGAGGGAGAGAGAGAGGGAGAGAGAGAGAGAGAGGGAGAGAGATATTGATTAAGTAAAACTATCACAAGTTATATCCGGATGATATTGAGTAAAGAAAATTTGTTCAAATCAGAAATCACTTGTGTGACAAGACATGGACATTATATACATCCTCATGTAAAAAGATATACCATATCAATATAACATTAATAATTTACAAAATCTTTCTCCATAATAATAGTAAACTTTGAACTTGCAATTACCTCACAACAAATTTGACCATCATATGGCTCAGTACTGTAACAATGTTTAAGTCAAAATCTCAAATTTTTAGTGGGTACCTTTAATATAAAGTTTATTTTATAATAAAATCCCTACACAATATTAGAACACCATTACTTTTACATCCTCCTGTGATTCTAAACAGTCTGCACAGTTTCTATCCTTTAAATCCTCAAATTATAATTCAGCCTTTAAAAGTCAATAGTCTATATAATCTATAATAAAACATATTTACAGAAATAAAGCCAACCTCTAGTAAGTTTTAACATCCACACCCCTGCACTCAGCAAGACAATATATATTTTAGAGACAGTCACAGGACTTTATATCTCATGTATTGTCGTACAAATGGATCTAGAAATTTATGTCATTTCTTATGCATTTATTCCATCATTTAGTCTTTGCGAGATTACAATAGCAGAAAAATCTATACGGCTCATTGCCTTTATGAATAAATATATAGCAGGATATAAGACATTGTCAGTGTAATATTTTCCAGCCAATATCAGTATAATCATCAATTGTCCTACTATTGACTTCAAACACACAAACTATGCTTTTATAAATGACTTTAAATTTTTCAATTTTTCCTGGGAAATCTAATAATTTGTCAGTCATTTTATAACTGGACATAAAACTTTTGTAATGTAAATATGTCAATATGTTTTGTTGATTCTTTTTAAAGAAGCTTCTTGTTAAAATACATCTGACTTAATACACAAAATAGGTGTTGGGGGTATATGATATTATTTAACTTTTGGTCACACACCTTTCACTGCCAACAAGAAGGGACTGTGTGTTATATTGACAGTACTACATGACAGTACCACAGAACAGTACTACAGAACAGTACTACAGACCTACTGATCGGAATTTTAAGTCTGAATAATGACTGTTTTTGGCATTGGTTTGATGCATCATAACATGGCTCAGTGTATGTTTTACATATAATTATATACATGTATGATGATACAACAGTAACCATTCAATTTTTATTGCATACACTGTTCTTTCAAAAAAATGTATGGGAACTCTAATAATCCAAAATGATTTTTGAAAAAGCAGGGAGCAATAAATGACCATAAATCTTAACCTTCAATACAGTTACAGAGAAATGTTGCCTCCTCCAAAGATCAAACCAACCACCCCTGCAATACTTATCAAATGCTTTTTCTATTGACTAAGAAAAAATAAAAAATTTGTAAAATCTCAGCACAGAGAAACCAAGGTAACAGAAAGTGACATTTTATAATTTCAATTAAATGATATTTTCTGATAGAAAACATTCCTCAGACTAATACATTTCTTGTGCCAGAACAAATATCTAATGTTCCAGGTGACTTCATAATATCTTCCATACTGTGATAATTACTTTAACATTTCATGTCTGCTGCAAAAATATTTAACAAGAAACTTTGGTATGTAAAAACTCTCAGCACAGACAAAAAACCCAACAAAAGTGGCCTTCATGTCTTGAAGCTATACTGAAGTAACAAGACACATACCTCAAACATTGTAGTATTTTACCATACATATAACATCATAAAAATCCTTCTAAAATCTGACTTGTATGAACTTGATTATACTTGTATTTAATGTCTTCTATAGATCATAATCACTTTTGAGACTTAAAATGTTCAAAAATTAAACAACAAATTCCAGTGTATGTTTGAAGCACCACAATTTGACCATGTTAAAGCTTCAAGACAAATGAATTCAAAGGAGAAAGTATAAAATGAAACCTCTTACCTTTGGATCAAGATAGTTAGCTGATAGGCCTCGACCACTGTCACTACTGGCAGCACTGTTCCTGTTACTACCAGCTGGACTTGATGACCTCATATCCCATGAGTTCTGGTATGCTGGTTCAACATTGTCAACATAACAATGCTCACCTATATGGTTCACTATCACCTTCCCATTTAAATTCTGAAAATATATTAAAATATTATTATAAATTAGCTTGCTTATACTTAAATACGTATGTAAAAATTACTCAACAATCATGACATACAATCAACATACAAGTAACTAAATAGCAATCATCTCATACAATTAAATAAGCAACAATCATCACATAGACAACCAACATGCAACTTGTTTAACAAGATATGCTCCGGACAAGCACAACGGACGGACAGACTGACAGACAAGGTGGCGACTATATTATGCTCTCACTTCAGGAAGCATAGCAACAATCATCACAGACAACCAACATGCAACTTGTTTAACAAGATATGCTCCGGACAAGCACAACGGACGGACAGACTGACAGACAAGGTGGCGACTATATGCTCTCTCTTCAGGAAGCATAGCAACAATCATAACATAGACAACCAACATGCAACTTGTTTAACAAGATATGCTCTGGACAAGCACAACGGATGGACTGACAGACAGACAAGGTGAGACTATATGCTCTCCCTTCAGGAAGCATAGCAACAATCATCACATACAACCAACATAATCTATTCAATAACACAAGTCTGTCAAAGTCTGGAACAGTTGATGAATGTAAACATTCACTATATTATCAAAGGAACATTAAATGATAAAACAGATACTGCACAATCTAACTTTTTACCTGACAATTAGAAACTAGTTTCTATAGGTTTTATTGGAAGCATTAGAAATACAGTTTTTATATCAGTATATCAAAGGTAACATCAAGAACATAAAATCTGACAATAACATATCTAAGTACTTGATCACAGTTTAAACATAAAACATATGCTACTTGATGCTTGGTTTATATCATACCTCTATAGTCACTTATAACACTAGCTTGCCATTTGTATAATTACAATAAAATATAAACAATTATTGTGAACAATTCATTTGTGTACAGGCCTTCACTGTGTTTTGAACTTGAAGTAATTGTTTTAATAGAATACTGACTACTGAAACAGCTAAAGATTGTACAGGCTGTCCAGCAGGTCATTATTGAGGCTAACACTCACAGAATTAATACACTCTTAAAATGACACTAGATTGTCACTTGTAATTGGACTATAATTGGAATATAAGGCCTCTTAAAGCATCATTATACTAATTGCCTGTGTGACAACTAACAGTTACTCTATAAATGTATCAGATACAGGAAAACAACAGATACAGGAAAACAAATACACCACAGATACATGACTGTGTTTGCTTACCTATATTTGTTAATAATTTCACCATGAAAAACATCAGAAATGCCCAACCAAGAAAATAAACAAAACAATAAAATTTCAAGTATTACCAACGGAGAGATTATTAAGTTAATGCATACCTTTGGAAACCTTATATAACATCAGCCAATAACTCAATATAACCATACATTTAATATACATGTACTAATTTGAAATTTGCTTTTGTTTGAGATACACCAATCTCTTGAAATAAGCAAACATTAAGTGTAAAACACCATTTGGCAGTAAATACATGTGTAACAAATTTACTTAAGTGCACAAGAATGTCTACTGCCAGCATGACAGTCACGAAAACAAGACATAAAAGTTTAATTGAAACAAAATTCTGTTATAATATAATATAGAACATTCCTCAGTTATTTTTTTAAATTTACCATTTTAAAAACTGGTATTCAGAGACATTTTGGGTCACAATTTCCAGTAAAATGCTCCTATCTTGTGTATTAACTATGTCTACAATATGGTCTGCTGCATTAGACATTTGGCTACAATCATGATAGCAGACTGTCAGTCATATCCTTATAACCTGACATTACATCTAGTCATACAACACTTATATTATCACTGCCAACCTACATAGCAACAAATTTGAAAAAAATTCCCTGATCAATAAATCACAGGAAAATGGTCATTTTGTTTCTGGTCTAGACACATTGCTGTTATATTTTCTGTTGTATGTTATTACAGTAGATTCTCCAAGGGGGAGTGACATTATATAAGCAACAGACTCAGTCAATAGTAACAAATTATTCTGTTTCTTTTTATCATCAAAGATCAATGCATTTGAATAACTGCTCACAAACTTTCCTTGTAGATCAGTAATATTTCCTATCAGTGTACATCTTAATGTACATATATACCTAGGATGTATTTTTCAGTTCTTGTTCTAAGTACCAAATATTTTTAATGTACATTACTTTCCTGAATTCATGATAAAATGATATTATTTCATACACAGGTTTTGCTGCTATAATGACCTTACATGTCCTTCATTATGTAGCTTGGTTACAGAAATACTGCTAAAAGTTATTTTATAAGCCTAGTTAAGGGCAATAACTCTGAATACATACTTGTTAAGGGTTGTTACTGTAATCACAAAACTTTTCAAAAGTATCCATATTCAGTCTCAATTATGTAAAGAAATACTTCTATTTTAAAATAACTTATTCTTTATAAGGACAATTAAAATAAGTATATTGTACACAGTTTCATGGCATTATAATACTTTTCTTTATAAATTTGTGATGAGCTTAATTTAAAATCATATAAATATCTACAAGATGTAACAATAAGACAACAAAAATCCAAACACTGCCAATTATTCAATCACATCATCATTACATCTCCCCCCCCCCATGTTAGAGCAGGAAGAAGTTAATAGATCCTATAATTCTATGTCACTCTTACCAAGCCTTAACTTCCCGAAACTTATAGTACCCTTGAGCCTTCTGCAAGATTTCAATCTATTTTTGTTAGATTGGTTGCCATAGAAATAATCAATATAAAGTATTTAGATATAAAACTTGCTCATAAAAAAACAAGTATTAAATAATAATATAAATGATTATGACACTTAACCTTGAGTTGTAATGCTTAGAATAACAAAACTAAATAAACATAATACTGTTATAAAATGAAGACTGCTATCACACTTACGTAAAGTATAGCTACTTGAAAGTTATATTATTCTAAAACAAGAGCAATCAGTGATCACAATGTGTCACCTCATGATAGCCAATTGCATATTGCAGCATAACTGTGTAGCAGAAGACACAGAAATCATTAACAGGGCAAAAGGTGTTTTTTATTCAAGGGCCATAACTCAGCCCATAACCAATCAACGGGTATTATGGGCACATACTTGAGCTACAGATCAATCCTGTAAAGTTTCATTGAAATTGCATTAATGGTATAAGAGGAGTAGTCCGGACAAACTTTAAAAATAAACAACTTTAAAAGGCATTACTCCTGACAAAAATCATTGACCCGGAAAATGCCGACATTTATGCACAAATAGACTTGGTACTGATCATTCCCATAAAGTTTGCATAAAATTACACAAATAGTTTGTGAGGAGGAGTTTGCACAAGTTTTCTGAAAGACTGACAGAAGACGGAGATGTGATCCCTATATGTGGTTACTACTCTGTAGAGGCGACACAAAAAGAGCAACTGCCTAGCCATGGCCACCCTTGACTTTTCTTTATTTCTTATGTCAGGAAGAATATTAAGTAACAGTGCTACAGATAAGCAGCGTATCTGCGTAATTACCCAATAATTTTGACCAACTTACCCAAATAAAATAAAATCTTTGCGTAATAAAAACACAAATCAAAATATCAGTACCCAATTTGTTTTGATACTCTAGCGTATTTTCAATATCTTGGACCATAATTCACCTAGCAAAAACTGCCAAACAAATCCGAAAATAGCCTGTTTCCCTTTCTGTACTTTCGTTTTCAATTTGTTCTAGAAAAAATTTTCATGTCCTAGTATGAAGAAAATTTTTAATGACATTTAGGTTAAAGCCAACTATAGCAAAAATCAAACAAAGTTCAGACATTTGACCTTGAAGGTCACAGTCATGTATGAGAGAAGGTCAAGTTCAATCTGGTCTACTTGAAGCTTTTGCCCAAAGGGTTGTTGTGTCTAAGTATAATGACTATTCATTCATAAATAAAAAAAAAGCCAACAATAAAGTGTCTGTACGGGAAAGACAACCTGACTGTATCAACAACTTGAAATTTTTCTTAAAAAAGAGTTGAGCTTTAATAAGCCAAAATTAGCATAAAATAATAATTAGTTCACTAAATCCTTGTTTATTTGAGCCTTGGCTCAGGCTGAGCTTCCTGTCAGCCACAAATACTGCATGCCTTGAGGCAATTTGCTCTTTAAATAAATTTTGTGTCACTTTCTTTTCTCCTTACTACTTGAGACAAATGAAAACCATAACTTGTGTCTGCTGTTCAACTACAAATGTCCTGACAGTGGCCGATGACAAGTAAGGGTAATAGGGTTAGTGACAGCTTGAAAGGTAGGCACTTTACTTGCCAACAACAGCCCTTACCAGGGCTACCTTACCTGATCATTATTGTCACTGGTTGACCACTGTATTGTTATCTACTTTCTGCTTAAACTTCATCCCTCTATGGTAATTGCACAGATGTAAAATATCACAACTTCCTGCTTCAATGTCAATATCTTAAGGCCATGACTTGAGACATGTTCTAAAGCAAAAGCTACCTTTTGCCATGGACTGAATCATTTACCACTGCAAGGATGTGGGTACATTGACATACAATCAGAAATAAAACTCTTTGCCACTGAAGCACTAAAGCCATATTTTATGTATTTAGTTTTCTTGTACCATATTTTTAGCATCACCTGTAATCTCCTGTATAAACAGGTGGTATAGCAATCTGGGAATGTTTATACTAGAACATATTCCACAGGTAGCTGCTACTCAAGAACTCCTGGTAGATTCCATGCTGTGCTTGATTTATTACAAAAACTGGCATTTACACCAATAAAAAATATCTTGCCCACTTACAGTGGATACTTTTTGACACTTGCAGGAATATTTCTAGCATATTTGTTTATATTCCAACAGTTCTTTGGAGCACCCAATTAATGAAACATATAAGTAAGTTCTTAAAGTAAATTCTTATACCACAGGAAGTCTTCATTGTCATTTCATATATTTTGCTTAAAATCTGGTAAAAATGAAACGCTGATCTCATGCTTAATAACTATAAAATAAAAGGTATAATCATTATTTTACAATGATCAGTACAAAATGCATACATGTCAAACATGATTCAATATGTTTGTGGTCAATAACAATAAAGATGTCATCATGTTCACATGTCACAGCATGGAACAAGTTGACAAATCTATATCATATATGTTACAGCATAGGACAAGCTGACAAATCTATATTATATATGTCACAGCATAGAACAAGTTGACAAATCTATATCATATATGTCACAGCATAGAACAAGTTGACAAATATATATCATATATGTCACAGCATAGAACAAGCTGACAAATCTATATCATATATGTCACAGCATAGAACAAGTTGACAAATCTATATTATATAGGTCACAGAATAGAACAAGTTGAAAAATCTATATCATATATGTCACAGCATAGAACAAGCTGACAAATCTATATCATATATGTCACAGCATAGAACAAGTTGACAAATATATATCATATATGTCACAGCATAGAACAAGCTGACAAATATATATCATATATGCCACAGCATAGAACAAGCTGACAAATCTATATTATATATGTCACAGCATAGAACAAGTTGTCAAATCTATATCATATATGTCACAGCATAGAACAAGCTGACAAATCTATATCATATATGTCACAGCATAGAACAAGTTGACAAATCTATATCATATATGTCACAGCATAGAACAAGCTGACAAATCTATATCATATATGTCACAGCATAGAACAAGTTGACAAATCTATATCATATATGTCACAGCATAAAACAAGCTGACGAATCTATATCATATATGTCACAGCATAGAACAAGTTGATGAATCTATATCATATATGTCACAGCATAGAACAAGCTGACGAATCTGTATCATATATGTCACAGCATAGGACAAGCTGATGAATCTCTATCATATATGTCACAGCATAGAACAAGCTGACAAATCAATATCATATATGTCACATCATAGAACAAGCTGACGAATCTAGATCATATATGTCACAGCATAGGACAAGCTGATGAATCTATATCATATATGTCACAGCAAAGAACAAGTTGACAAATCTATATCATTAAAGTCACAGCATAGAACAAGTTGACATAAGCATAGAACAAGTTGACAAATCTATCTCATATATGTCACAGCATAGAACAAGTTGTTGAATCAATATCATATATGTCACAGCATAGAACAAGTTGACAAATCTATATTATATATGTCACAGCATAGAACAAGTTGATGAATCTATATCATTAAAGTCACAGCATAGAACAAGTTGACATAAGCATAGAACAAGTTGACAAATCTATCTCATATATGTCACAGCATAGAACAAGTTGTTGAATCAATATTATATATGTCACAGCATAGAACAAGTTGACAAATCTATATTATATATGTCACAGCATAGAACAAGTTGACAAATATATATCATATATGTCACAGCATAGAACAAGCTGATGAATCTATATCATATATGTCACAGCATAGAACAAGTTGACGAATCTATATCATATATGTTACAGCATAGGACAAGCTGATGAATCTATATCATATATGTCACAGCATAGGACAAGCTGATGAATCTCTATCATATATGTCACAGCATAGAACAAGCTGACAAATCAATATCATATGTGTCACAGCATAGAACAAGCTGATGAATCTATATCATATATGTCACAGCATAGGACAATCTGATGAATCTATATCATATATGTCACAGCATAGAACAAGTTGACAAATCTATATCATTAAAGTCACAGCATAGAACAAGTTGACATAAGCATAGAACAAGTTGACAAATCTATCTCATATATGTCACAGCATAGAACAAGTTGTTGAATCAATATCATATATGTCACAGCATAGAACAAGCTGACAAATCTTTATTATGTATGTCACAGCATAGAACAAGCTGACAAATCTATCTCATATATGTCACAGCATAGAACAAGTTGTTGAATCAATATCATATATGTCACAGCATAGAACAAGCTTACAAATCTATATTATGTATTTCACAGCATAGACAAAGCAAAGATTAAATCTTTATCATATATGTCACAAGACAAACTTAGATATATCACAAACATGAAAGACATTGGTCAATGAATGAAGACTGTAAGAGCAAAAATGTATAAATGTTTTTTCAGCATCAGTGACCTTGACCCCAGTAACCCATATTTCCAAAGTATGTATTTACCAAAAATATGGAAGATATCATATAGTCCCTTTTAAGTATAGGTTAGTGTTTAATAATACGTATTAACAAAAATAATTTTCAAATTTATAAAATGTATTGGACTTGACCCAAATGTGCCCATAATGCTAGGTAAAACTGTAGAAAGTGAGACAAAACTATAGAATGACAAAGTGGCAACTTATAATATATCCTTCCATAATTTTTTCAGGGGGTGTAAAATCATTTTCACAAAATAATATGTGCTTATAATATATCCCTAACCATAAACTTTGAATACCATTACCTAAATACCTCAATTTTTCCATTTAATAGTAATATTGCTTACTTATAACCAGGTGAGTTTATTTCAAATCAGTCAATACTGTAATCTGTTGTGTTTCTTAAAGATAAAACTGTATTTGCAATATACAGTATTCCTTCTTTTAAAACCATTAAACAGACTTCAAACCTTTGAGCAATCATTAACATTTCAGCATTTTACCTAAAAGATCACACTTTTTTTCTACAAATAGACTGCCAGGTTGTATCTTGTCTTTCATCAGAATCTGGCAGCATAGTATATACTAATTATCGTAATAAAACAACAAAATCAAAATTCTTAATTGCCTTCAGAGAAACAAAAATAGGTCGGAGATGACTTGTTGACCTGTTTTTGAGGCAAAGATGCCAAGATTTATCTGACAGGGATATATATCAGGTGGTCTACAGTATCTAGATGTTGTTATATGTGAAGGACCTTATGTTCTTGGAAATCAGTTTTGATTATTTCTTACCTCATTTTTGAATTCTGATAGGATATGATTTGATTGTAATTATTTAAAGCTTAAATACAAGGGCAAACACTGTCAACATTAAAAACATGATAAGTTTTTGTTTCCAGCAAAAAAAAATCCAGTAAAATATGCATTGCAATATCCAGTAAATTATGCAGCACAATATCCAAAGCAATATCCAGTGAAGTATGTAGTGCAATATCAAGCCAAATATTCTGCCAAATATTCATTGAAATGACCAGCAAAATATGCAGTGCATAATATCTAGACCTAATAGCCAGTGCATAATATCTAGACCTAATAGCCAGTGCATAATATCTAGACCTAATAGCCAGTGCACAATATCTAGGCCCAATAGGCAGTGAAATATGTAGAGCCGAATATCTAGGCCCAATAGGCAGTGAAATTAATTTATGTAGAGCCGAATATCTAAGCCAAATAAGCTGTGAAATATGCAGTGCACAATAACTAAGCCAAATAGGCTGTGAAATATGCAGTGCACAATATCTAGGCCAAAAAAAGATTCTACACATGAAATATTATATATAAGACTGTCAAGTGTCTGACTAAACTTTGTTCATCATAAATGTCATCTAATGCAAATATTGTCACTAATTTAAGCATGTTTCATACACAAATATAAAATGTAAGTCATGAATTCTATCAACAGTCAATCATGAAATGAAAGGGAAATAATGATGGAATGTTTTAATTGCATTTTGGATACAGAATTATTTTAAACTTTTTTAATATTTCATCATTGAATAACAATCTTATTAGATATATATTTCATTTTTTATATTAACAAATAAGCTAAACCAAGAACATATTAATTTTGATTTTTTGAGAAAATGTCTGCATAATGATGTAATGTATATAAATGTAATAGAAATAACAATATAACAATATAATTTCCCAGACACTAAATTACCTAACTCTTGACTCATGAACATATCTCATAATTCAAAACTTTTACATCAAAATGATTGCCAGTACAGAACCCAAAGAAACTAAAATTCAATCTAAAGGAGGAATATAAAAGGAAATGAAGTTACAATGAACGTGCTTATTGTAGTCGACACTGCAGTGATTGGTGTCTCCAGTGAAATGATTTCCTTGTCAATTATACGGAGGTAAAAGGAGCCAAAAAATGACAATAGTGTGATTATCTGCTAATTTAGTTACCACAATGAATATAAACACTAGCTTTTACTTTTATGAAGTCAGTTAATCAATAGTAAACCATGATCTGTCTAAATGGTATCTCTCTGTTAACAGATTCTCCATAAATAGACAAAATGAGGAGTTACATCTACACACAGAATACTGAAGAAACCAAACATATATTTATATACTGAACTGCTTTAAATGTTAAAGATTTTATAGAGTCAGTCAGCACAAGTTGATTAACATCTGTAAGGTTTGAGATAGGTTCAGATAGCCATCTTCTGTTTCAAAGAGTTAAGGTTAGAAATTAACCAAGGAGTTAAAGCTGCTGAAAACTTGTCAACACTGTTGTGGATCCTGCCATAAACACTCTCCCAAACCTATCTTTATACAGACAACATGAATACATTGACCTGGTTGTGTACTACTGGCAAAGTCCTGTTTACCTGCTTTTCATTATAAGTGTTAACTTTATAATGGCAGCATAGGCTAATTAGCTATCTTGAACATATTTGAAACATTCATTATATTACAATTTCTGGACCAGTATTATAGAACTTATATTATTGTTCTTCTACTTTTTACACTAGTATATAATTATATATATCTATCTAAAATAATAAAAGAATGTAAGTTTACCTGGTGGTGACTTGGTGAATTGTTGACAACATTTTGGTATGATGGTGGAGGTGGTGGGGGTAACACTGTCACCTCTTTACAACATTCATCTGCAATAATAACAACATTTCGTAAATAAACTGATTTTAATGCATAAGACTCAAATAAAACATGAATTATGTGCATATTTATCTGTGCCTTTTGTGATAGCCACCAATCAATTATAATCTACTTTGTTTTTATTCTTGAAATAATTTTAAGTATATATTATACTTTTGTAACAATGATATAACAATCTTTATCCCTTAATCTGCTATGATTTTTTTATAAAAAGTTCTTGAGCTGTCATCACAGTTTTTAACAGTCCATAATCATTTTTGGAAGAAGCAAGATGACAAAGTTAATCAGCCAGCAATAAAAACCCACTGGTAACGAAGACAGCATAGATATACTGGGCTTGCCTGGCCCTATACTGGACACAAACGCTTAAATCACTTGGGGTTTCAGAAACTTTATAGTTCACATTAATTCTGACAAACAATATTAGGGCCCTGAGTCGCTCACCAGAAACAACTCCTTATCAGTGTTGGAATGTCAATATATTCTTATATTAAATTTGAGCATAGAATATGTTTAAACAATAATTTGAAGAAATGCCATGACCTGGGGTATTTAAACTTTAGCTTAAACAGGGCTAATCAAATTAATATGAGCAAACTTGATAAAAGACTACCTAAGAATGCTACAAAGTTGGGTGATCATCTATCAATTATTTCAGTAGGAAATGATGTTCGAAAGTTTTTTCTATTTTTAGCTTTAGTGGCCCCTAAAAGGGGCTAATCAAATTAATATAAGCAAACTTGATAAAAGACTACCCAAGAATGCTACAGACAAAGTTTGGTGATAATCCAACAATTGGTTCTGAAGTAGAAGATGTTAAAATGTTTTTCTATTTTTACCTTTAGCGGCCCCTAAAAGGGGCCAATCAAATTAATATGAGCAATCTTGATAAAAGATTACCCAAAAATGCTACAAATAAAGTTTGGTGATCATCCATCAATTTGTTCTTTAAAGGTTTTTCTATTTTTAGCCCTAGAGACCCCTAAAAGGGGCCAATCAAAATAATATTAGCAAACTTGATAAAAGACTACCCAAGAATGCTACAGACAAAGTTTGGTGATAATCCATCAATTTGAGTTCTCTAGAAAAAGACATTTAACAGTATTTCTATTTTTAGCTTTAGTGGTCCCTAAAAGGGGCCAATCAAATTAATATGAGCAAACTTGATAAAACACTACCCAAGAATGCTACAGACAAAGTTTGGTGATCATCCATCAATTAGTTCTGTAGGAGAAGCTGTTTAAAGGTTTTTCTATTTTTAGTCCTAGAGACCCCTAAAAGGGACCAATTAAAATAATATTAGCAAACTTGATAAAAGACTACCTAAGAATGCTACAGACAAAGTTTGGTGATCATCAATCAATTAGTTCTGTAGAAATATACGTTTAAAGGTTTTTGTATTTTTAGCTTTAGCGGCCCCTAAAAGGGGCCAATCAAATTCATATGAGCAAACTTGATAAAAGACTACACAAGAATGCTACAGACAAAGTTTGGTGATCATCCATCAATTAGTTCTGTAGAAGAAGTTATTTAAAGGTTTTTTATATTTAGCTCTGCTGACCACTAAAAGGGGCCAATTGGAATGGCATGAGCAAATTCAAGTGTGACTGTCACAAGGATGCTACAGAACAAATTTGAAGTAAATCTGCTTAGTTAAGTTTCAGAGAAGAAGACGATTGTTGACGCATGACGACGGAGCATCCCCCTTTGATACTAACAGCTCACCCTGAGCCTTCGGCTCTGGTGAGCTAAAAACATGGTGTGTACTGGCAAAACAAACTGTTTTTAACCATTTTTGTACAGGGAATTAATACCTGATGATATCACATCACTGTTCTATATTAATTTTTATAAAACATTCATCAACCACTTACCCAATTTCTTAGCAGACATGCTTCACATAAAATCACATGTTTAATAATCCAATAATAAACAAATCCAGCAACCATAAAATCACTTCAAACACAAACATTTCAAAAACACTCAAACAAAGGAACAAATTCAAGTCATTTAATAAATTGTTCCTCACAAATAAACACTATCAATTTTAATAAATACCACACAACAATTCAATATTTAATCAACACAAAATCCAAGGTAAAAAAAATGGGAACCAAAAAAAACCCAAGAACTTTAAAAGAATCTGGAAATAAAGTGAATGAGAAAATCTACAAAGCGTATCAAGAGAGGAATCTGTAAACGTTTTTGATGGCACAATAATATACATGATGATAGATACACACACACCAATATTCACTCCAGTTTATATTTAGCACATCAGAAAAGACCTGGTATTGAAATCATTTACTCAGCAAAAACATAACATCCGAAAAAAAACTTGTAAATCTTTTCCTATTTGCTCATCATCTTGGTTAAGCTAGTGTAAAAATTTGTGTATTGTCTTATAGTACTATTGTCAAATATTTAAAATTAAATGTTTTTTAGTGTTGTTATTAAAACAGTAGAATAACCACAGGTTACTATTTTGTATGGTGTAATCATATCTGCTAACAATTGTGTAGTGCTTCATCAAATCTGTAAACTATCATTCACGTTATAAAACAATAGAAAAACATCAGCTTACTATTAGTACTGCTTTTAGAAGAAAATGTGAATGGCCTTATACCGAGAGTACTGTCATTAAATAGTAGAAACAGTGTATGGCCTTACAGTTCTGTGATTAAACAGTAGAAACTGTGTATGGTCTTATAATTCTGTAATTAAACAGTAGAAACCATGTAATGGCCTTATAGTTCTGTAATTAAACAGTAGAAACTGTGTATGGTATTATAGTACTGTAATTAAATAGTAGAAACTGTGTATGGTCTTATAGTTCTGTAATTAAACAGTGGATTCACCATGTATGGCCTTAAAGTTCTGTAATAAAACAGTAGAAACTGTGTATGGTCTTATAGTTCTGTAATTAAAGAGTAGAAACCATGTATTGCCTTATAGTTCTGTAATTAAACAGTAGAAACTGTATATGGTCTTATAGTTCTGTAATTAAATAGTAGAAACTGTGTATTGCCTTATAGTTCTGTAATTAAATAGTAGAAACTGTATATGGTCAGTATAGAAAATAACTTCAGATAACTATTGTGTTTGTTGCTATCAAACCTGCTAAGTATTGCGTAATACTATGATAAGCTTAGATAAAATAGACAGGGTGTCTTTATACTGTGATAATAGATCAATCTTTAAATAATTTGGGGTCACTGATTTCAAATTTAAGCTAAATGTCTATCGACAAATTTAACTTATGATATAGATAGCGAAGAGAGCTACTTGGAAACTGTCATTTGTATGCATTAATACACAATTTACATATTGTAATGGATTATATTACAATTACAAGTACACCTGTGCATTATACATTTCTTGCAATTATTTTGAAAAATGTAATGCATTTGTTACAGCACATTTCAATTACATTTTTTTTCATTACCCTCAGCCTGGTGCTGTATTACTTCTTGAAGATAAATAAATAAAGTTATCATTACACAAGCTGACCTACTATCTGGAATTGTTGTTATCAGGCCAGTTCTGATAAGAAGTGAAGAAAATTGCCAAAACAGTTTCTGATAATAAGCTAAACACCACTAACATAAACAGGGTGAGATGTTTGGTTTAAATATAATAGTGAAACAGTTACTGATGGTTTGTCAAATAAGAGGACATTATGCATAATGATATCAATAAAGACAATTTTACTCATGTACTGGTCGATGTTTTATTTGTATATAATAGGATGCAAGGGCAATTAACATAAAATATGTTCAGTGCATGTTTTTGATGAATGCTCTCCCTTTGAATTCCTCCTGCAACTTGCATTTCTTCAAATATATTATAAAATCCTGTATTGATGCTTTCATCTGTTTTAAACATGTAATGTTGCAGTTTTTATTTGTTTGGGTCGTCAGACCTGATATACATCAATAAAGTCAAGTTACAAATAGACTTCATTTTCTTATTACCGGTATACAATGCTCACAAGAAGAGGAGGTTTCATGATTTCTCTCACTTGAACGATAACAACAGTAATCTTTAAACCAATCTAAATCAAAACTATACATATATGCTTTGAAGAGATTTCCATTCAACTTGCAACAGTTATCAGATTTTAAACACTTCCAACATAATAAATTTGAAATAAAAAAGATGACTGTGTTGATATGGTGATAGCTGTGGTGGTATATTGCGTATACAGAAACTAAAGTTTAATTTTAGTTAATGATACTCGTTAAATTCTGGCAATAGGTTTTATTGTAAAACAATCAGATAAGTTGATGCCAAACTCTGGTGAGGCTAATCTGACAAATGTAACAACATCCAGGTCTATGGAAATGCCTTCAAGGTCTGAACAAAAATCTCCTGCTAATAATAAATAACCTGATTTTTTCTTTGAAAAATGAGAATATAATTATTATTGAATAAGTAGCAACTACTGCAGTAAATAAATCGTATGAAGTTTGAGCCTAGTTCAACTGAAATAACCTTTCCAGAGTGTTACATGATTAAAAAATTCTTTATTTGATTGTTTTCCAGAAAAAATATTTTCTTACATAAAAGGTGTCCATTAAGTATGTCACTGCGTTTTTCAAACAATCAATACCATTAAATTTGCATATATTCCTGATAGAAGAAAGGTAGCATATCTGAAACAGCATAAATTAATTAACACAGTGGTCGATCACATGACATTTGTTTACGGAAACTTTGGGTCACCGCAAATGGCCACACCCATGACTTATATGTTTTTATCAAATTTTTCATTATTAAGTTTAAATATTTGAATAAAAAACATATACTATTTTCCAGACAAACATTTGCTGGTTCTAATGGTACATTCCATTGTAGCTCTTTACTTTTCCCTGTTATGCATGCAGAACGATTTTGATGAAATTCTAGAAATATATCAGGAAAAATACAAAAGCTACATTGGAAATGACATACTATTGGAATTTAAAAATATTTGCCAGGAACAAACTCAAAATTCTATCAAGATTAGATTATCTCCCTTCACTATCATACTATATTCTCACTTAACTTAGCCTTTGACCATTTTATTGGTATTACAACCACTGCCATATAAACCTGGTATAACAACCAGTGCTATATAAACCCAGAATTACAACACGTACTATAAAACATGGTATTACAACCAGTGCTATATAAACCTGGTATTACAACCAGTACCATATAAATCTGTTATTACAACCAGTGCTATATAAACCTGTTATAACAACCACTGCCATATAAACCTGTTATAACAACCAGTGATATATAAACCTGTTATAACAACCAGTGATATATAAACCTGTTATAACAATCAGTGATATATAAACCTGGTATTACAACCAGTGCTATAAATAAAGTGTTGTATGATAACATGACTGTGTGGTAGATGTGTGGCATAATATTGTGTTAAATGTGTCCTTGTATGATGACAGGATGTTGTGTTTTGGTGTGGTATGATAACATATGTGGGAGGACAGCTACTGTGTTGTAACCTAACATGGAACTAGTGCTGTATGCTATACTCATCAGGTCTTTACCAATTAGTGCCAATAACATTCTAATCATAACTTTTAATCACTGTAAGCCACAGAATCAACCATAACTTGCCAATTAAAAATTCTACAGAGTAATATCTCAGCAGTTTTTCACACAGATTTTCAGTGATAAGTTATGAGACATTATTATAATCTGCATGCATGTTTTAAAACAGAGCACTTGTCGATGAGTTACCTCTAACTACATGTGCTAAAGTTCCAGCTAAAGCCAACACAAATTAATCAGATTTGTTTTTTCTTTAACAATGAGATAAGATTGAGTTAGCAATACAAGAGACAATCAGGAAAAGATATCATAAAAATGCCAAACATTTTTCTCTTTCATGGGAGAGAAAAGCCAGTCTAGTTTGTTTTCAAAATTTAATATCTGCACTACGTATGAGTCATTCTTGTAATCCAACCTAATTTTTTTATCCATTCCATCTTCATTTGAATAGAAACTAATTTTATAGGCACTTTCTCCCATTTCTAGAACTATTGCTCCACAATACAAATATGTCTTGCTTTTCTCATTTTTATTTGTGCATGAAAGAAATCAAAAGAAATTGGCAGCTTATAAAAGGCAATAATCCGTTTTCTTTATTGATAAACAACATCCAATGCACCAATGATTCACAAAATGCCAACAGCCAAAATCTTCACATAAAACACATTACAGTTTTCCATTTATCGGCCCCTAGGGAGAATCCATTGGACACTTGCCTGACATAAATGACTGCTCCCTCTCAGACATACAGTCTACTGGTATAATGTCCCTGCTAGCATTCTGTCTAACATTCTGATATGTCAATTTACAACAAAACATGAAGGAATGTGCCTTTAATTTTCCAGAACAACATTTTCACCTTTCTCTCTCTTTTTTAGCTAGAATGACTAATAATATTTTATCTGAATCTTTGACAAGCATGGAAGTTAATTAATTTTGCAGAGTTAAGATAACACTACCCAAGATATACTACACAAGTTATATTATAGAAACATACATCCAACATACTTTGTTTGACATAACAACATTAGTATCTTAAATAGCTACACATATTATTTTCTACAAAATATTAAATTATTTACTAATGAAATACACACACATTAAATAAATTATTAAATGAATTTCCATTGTGTGGTAAGTTGACCAGTGTACCAATTTGGTAGAGGGCTGACTATTGTATAACTTGTGACACATAAAATGTGCACTTCAAGCCGTCTGGTTAGCTCAATAGGTAGAGCATTGCACTGTGAGTCGGACAACCTGGGTTCAATTCCTGGACAAGCACAGGTCACTTTCGTTGTGATTGATCATGAAAACTTTTCTACAGTCATTTGCACTGTACCTCTAGTTTGGCATGTACAAAAGTTTCAATTTCTTGTGAAAGTAAAGGCAACTAGTACTTGTAAACTGCTTGACAGCTTGCCCAGGATTGATGCACATCGGTGGCTGAACTGTGCTGTGGATAATTCAATGTGGCTAACTGCCGTGATCCGGAATGAAAACTACCAACAGCATCACAAAGTACACTTTAGTGTAACTTCTTTGTTTTAAAGTATTAGACACTTCCTTGAGGAGTATGCATACATAAACAGGTTTCACATAATTATATTGTTTTGCAAGATTATTCATTCACACTTGACATTTTTAAAATGAAGAAGTAAAATTTTTATTCCAAACAAATTCATGATAAGTTAGCTAATCATATCTACTTTTGGCCTATCTTTTCAACATATATCAGTTCCATATTGACATATTGTACAAATAAAATACAGATGCTTAACATCATTTAAATTATGTAGATGCTTCTAATTTCTATGGTTGACCTTACTCATGACATTTATCATGACAGAAGGGTCATTAGCACTCTGAGGTCTGACCATGCAGTGTGGGCCCAAAAACAGACTAGTTTAATTATTGAATAAATCATTTGTTCTATACTATACACATTAAGAAAACAGTTTTTATGGTTTTATGTTGTGTGAATTTTTATGTTGAGAAACTCAGTTTTTTGCAGACAAATGTATTTATGTGTCTAGACTTTTATATAAAGATAAATGTTATTATCCAGCAAATAGCTACCACGATCAATATAACATAATAAATGAAACAGAATGCTGGTTTTTTCCTTTAAAAATGATTACCTCAACTACCCTGACATTAAAATAATCGAAAAATGTTATAAGACAGCTAAAATTTATTTGCTTGCTTAGATACCCCCCTTTCTCGGCAAAATCCCTCTATAATATATTGTTCTATAACAGATCACTCCAACACTGAACACTCAAACCTGATTTCTAGTCCCGTAGACAAAAATATTGTGAAAAACACCTTAAATTCATCCAAACACAAAAAGACAACAAAAGTTGTGGGCTGACTCCCTGTCAATTACAAAATGTACTGACAGTCGGCATCATATGTTTTGTACCTACTTAAAATACTTCCATTCTTTGACTATTACTTTTTACACGTTAATGTATATAATATATTGTAAAATACCCAGTATTACTAAAGAAATGGATTCCCAATATTATAGGTAAATAAAATCACTTAAAAAATCAATGACAGTTGTACTTTTCCATCACCCAAGCAGAAAGTAAAACACAGCCCAAATAAACATCTATAAGACCAAGATCTACCTGTAACATCAGAGTCTTCTTGAGGCTCAGTAACAAATATTGGTGGAGGTGGGAACTCTAATTCTACAAAATTATCAAATCATTTCAATGTTGTTTTTTATTTAATACTGATCTTTTCTGACTTAAATCTTTTGTTTGTTTTGGTTTTGCACATTTTTGTTTTGGTCATAATTCTCAGCAGTCGGTCAACCTTACCGGCTTTCCTGGATCGCTTAATTACAATTTTCATCCAAAAATGACCGACTACTAATCCAACATGATCATTATTACAGTACATTAAATTATACAATGGTTATTTTACATGCAATTATATTTAAAAAACATAAAGTAAAAGTTGGCAAAATAACAGAAATGAAAAATTCTGATATCATATATTATCATGCAATCATGCATCAACAATACATGTAACATGTCAGTCAGATACACTTCAATTCAAAGGACTAAACGATGACCTTGAGACTCACCTTGTGTATTACTAATATGCTCAAATTTAGACATGCATGTTGGGGAAGGAGGAGGAGGGAAAGCCTCGTCTACACCTATACTGCCATACGAGCTACGATTTGATGTAAAGGAAGTATGTACACCGTTGTAAGAGAAACTATTACATCGTGGTGGTAACTTGTCAGGTGTTAGAGGTGGCGTTGTATAAGATGAAGTACTTCGTAATGCATTCTTTCTACCTGCTACAATATGTGTTAGAGAAAATAAAGAAAAATAAACTGAAGAAACAAAATCATAAATAAAATAAAGCAAACTAAAAATATGTAACAATGTAATGTTTACGGCAGCTGTCTTGACTATAGTACAAGGAGGGTTATTCAGGAAATTTCCAAGTTCACAAATTGGAATCATTCAGAGAAAATCTATGCTAAAATTATGGTTCTTGGTCTGACATTGAACTTCAGTTATTACAGTGAAGGTATTTGTGATGAATTACTTAAATGGTTGTGATCGTAGAATGTGCATACAAAACATTTTACTGACACGGCTTTTTTATTTTATTCAAAAGACATTTACGGTAAGTCAAATTCATACTTATGCTTTGGGTATTCTGAGACAATGACTTACACTTATGATACCAAAAACAGACTTGGAATTTAATGTGAATACCCTCATTGGTTACTAAGATAAGAAGTAACACAAAAAAACATTCAGCAAGTGTTACAGTGATGCCAGGGTGAGAATGAAAGCTCCACTATACTTAATATAGTCAAGCTAAAACTTAAAATAAACAATAAACAATAACATTATTTGACAATATAATTATGTACCCTGCTTACACTACAAGTGAGCACATCTAGAATTGAAATATTTCTATATTACATTAAATGATGATTGAAATATATGTACAATAATAGATGTCACATGTAGCATAAACTGGGATATATGCTCCTGTCTTTGAGTTAGATCATTTTTATAAAGCAATTTTAGTATTCAACATAATGTATAAAACAGCACAAGGTAGTTTGACCTTCACTAATCTACCAGAAAGTAAAAACTGGTACAATACTAACATAAAGTCAGGAAATATTAATTTACATGTACGGTATATCAGAACAACTCAACTGAGGTTTTTTGATATTACTGGATAGGAAATATTTTGTGTACCATTTAACGTTGGACTTGACCAATAATTTCTTTGTAAAATTTCAAATGTTTTGTTCACTTGCTATTCATTTTTCAAGAATTATCATTTTAATTGTGCTAAATGACCAGAAAATAAAGTATTGATATGATCTTAGGTCAAATCTGGCTTAGATTAGAATCATACAGAATTATAGTGATGTTCAATTTAATTTTAGGTTTATTTCTTTATTATCATATAAGTGTCCAAATTGATCTTAACAAGAATTTTTAATTTCATGTTCTTAAGACTTTTGTACCTCAGTGGAGCTAGCTGTAAGCAGCACAATATATAAGAGAGATTTGAAGCAGATGGTGATTTAATAGTAACATGCTTTATATATATACACAATAATCATGCTGTACACGACAGGTTTCATCTTATATATATATACATAAACATCTTTGTTTGAGTACATTTTGTGCTTCGAAAGTTGATGAAAAATAAACATATCCAAAAACTGTGTAACGAAAGATGACTCTGATAATGAAAATGGTATAAGTTAATGCAGACTTCTGTGTATCACATTTTTTGTCCTTTGGTTTCTAGCTTACCTGTATTGTCTATAAGCACAACATGATCAGCTGGGAACCATCCTGGCTTGGCCATACACCCGTCCTTCATTAGACAACCTTTCCACATACCATCTTGTCTCTGCTCAATTATCTAGAAATATAAATTATATATACTGTATATATATGTAGATATATAACAATATTCCTACATACATGTATTATGTTTATCAATCAACAAAACTTTGAATCAGCTGAAATAAATGAATATAAACCTTGTTTTTCATTTAACCAAATCTTATTTTTAATTTCTTATTGTTAACTTTGATAACATCATACTTATATGTTGACAAAAAGCATCACACTTATTTGTTGACAAGAAGCATCAAACTTCTGTGTTGACAAGAAGCATCAAACTTCTGTGTTGACAAGAAGCATCTAACTTCTGTGTTGACAAGAAGCATCAAACTTCTGTGTTGACAAGAAGCATCAAACTTCTGTGTTGACAAGAAGCATCAAACTTCTGTGTTGACAAGAAGCATCTAACTTCTGTGTTGACAAGAAGCATCTAACTTCTGTGTTGACAAGAAGCATCTAACTTCTGTGTTGACAAGAAGCATCTAACTTCTGTGTTGACAAGAAGCATCTAACTTCTGTGTTGACAAGAAGCATCTAACTTCTGTGTTGACAAGAAGCATCAAACTTCTGTGTTGACAAGAAGCATCAAAACTTCTGTGTTGACAAGAAGCATCTAACTTCTGTGTTGACAAGAAGCATCTAACTTCTGTGTTGACAAGAAGCATCTAACTTCTGTGTTGACAAGAAGCATCTAACTTCTGTGTTGACAAGAAGCATCTAACTTCTGTGTTGACAAGAAGCATCTAACTTCTGTGTTGACAAGAAGCATCTAACTTCTGTGTTGACAAGAAGCATCAAACTTCTGTGTTGACAAGAAGCATCTAACTTCTGTGTTGACAAGAAGCATCAAACTTCTGTGTTGACAAGAAGCATCAAATAACAATAAACACACACATAAATATCCATTTTCATTCATTACATTTTGCTGGATTCTTGTGTTCCTTTGGAAAAAAAGACAAAAGTTTTAATATGTATGGCCATCCAAAACTGCTGCCATACATAACAATCCAGCTTGTTCCATCAGTAACTCTTGTATAAACATTTAGTATTCAAACAGTACTGACTGTCTCATTAGCAATTATATTATTGACCTGTAAATTGTACAAGGTGATTACCTAAACATTTTGTAACCCAAGAATCCTTAGAGAGAAATTGATTCATTAATCACAACAGAGCAAAGGAATGTTATGTAATATAACACTATAACAAATCAATCAGTATCTAGTTAAAGGGCTAGTCTCATTACACCATATGGTTTCTATATAATAAACACAAAGTGGCCAAAGACTTTCATCAGGTTGACTAACACTAGTTAACAACACAATAAAACTCCCTGGAGGGATTTGGTTGTCATTGAGGGGGAACCCTCTAAGAAACAGATCAAGGTATCTTAACAAATACATTGACAGAATCATCTTGTTCATCAAAATCTGTACTTGTTTCTCTTGTTTGAAGGAGGTAGATTCAGTACTCATGTTTATAATGTCAACTACATGTAATTCACAGTAATCAACTATTTACATGTATAATATTATAAGTCTGTAAATATTGCAATATATCTAGTACACAGAAAAGACAACATCATCGTAATCTTTATAACATACTAATATATATATTTTCTCTCATTATTATCATTCTAAAAATAAAGTGGTATAACCTGATATATAACCCAACATTATTGCCAATAATTAACAAGTATATTTATACAAGTATAATATTCAGATCATCAAAAGAAATGTGTGTTAATGTTTATTTGTTTTTACATTATCATTAAGATCCTATCAATGTATTATCTTACCTAATTAATGGCATCATTAGAGAGGTATCTCTCAAAGTTAATCTTTCCTAAGATACAACAGGTGCTATTTCAGCATGCCTTACTTCTACAGTTATGCCAATATAATCATCATTGAGATAGGATAATTAGTCTTGGTTATAAACAGTTTTTTTTCTTCTTTTTTTTACTTCTGTAAGTTTAAGGTTGGTCAAAATACATCAAGCTGTTATTTAAGAAATTGTAGATAATAACTGGCAATCCTGAAGGACTGACACACTTGCGGTCACCAAAGCTTGCAGCACTTTGTGCTCCGGTGAGTTAAAAAGTCAATGGAAAGATAATTAACTATGATGACAAATTAAGATAAAGATTATACCTATATTATACATGTGTTTCTTGTTAGACATGGTATCACAAGTTAATGGAGTGTTTAATGAGAATATAAGTGGTCCTTTATATTATATACAACTGGTTTTACAAGTTCTTATTATTATGATGCTTGAAGATTTAAAATAGTGACTTTAGTAAAACAAATGTGTAACCCTGAGGCTGTGATGAGAGAAAAGTAAACAATAACATTGATTATAAAGCAGTTATCACAATAATTGATTCTGTGACTGTGTTAACATTAGACAATTTAGTGTATAAAGATTTATCATTATCCTAATATAAAATACTAGGTTCTTTTTTTTTTTACATGCAATCTATTTAAAAGATTGAAGCAATTTTGATGACCACAAGTAAGGATGGAAGAATACATGATCTAATTTATAATGGACAGTGCCTTTGATCCAGGATCCAAAAACAATTATCAACATCAACTAAATGTTCCTGCTTTATTCTCTCAGAGAAAATATTTGCTCCATCCATTACTCCATTCTGTATGGATATAGCAGCAATATTCCAATTTAGAGTGGCTCAATTTAACAAACAGATGAAAACCAGGCTGTATATTCCCTCCATGTATTGATCTGTCCAAATATTCCCCCAATATAATAGCATCATAGTTAACATTGCCCGCCTGGGACATGACATTCTAATACCCTCCCTATCTATTCTATCATCATAACTATTAAATATCAATAGTAATGTTGCTGTTTTCATTGATAAAAAAATTAACATAATTTACTTATCATTCAATGTTGAATTTTGCTATCTACAAATTAAAATCTTAATAAGATAAGTAATTTATTTTGTAAAGAAGGCATATACCCCTGCGAAAGCATGTTCATCAATTCATGAATTTTCATGAACAGTTCATGAATATTCATGAACATCTTTCAATTGTTCATCATCTTGGCAGAAATGTTCATGAACAAATATTCATGAACATTCAAGTTCATGAATATGTATGTCTGTTCACGATCATGTTGATGTGTTCATGAACATTTTGGCATCATTCTTGCTCTGTTCATGAACATTTTGGTATGTTCATGAACAAGCTGACAATAATCATGAACTTTAAAAACAAATTTGTCTTTACAATTTTAACCCATGTGAATACTTTTTATTGTTAGAAAAAATTTCAGTTCATGAACTCATGAACTGAAAAATTTCAGTTCATGAACTCTCGTGAGTTCATGAACTCACTGATCATCAACAAGAGTTGGCTGACCTTGGTAACACCCATAATGCAAAAGTCAACATGGCCGCCAGAAACAAAGCTCTACATGTGTTTTAACAAACTTTCGGTGCAAACTTACTTAAAAATGGAATAAATAACAATGACTTAGCAAAATGAAGAAAAAGTGATGTATTTACCTAATGGACTATATAAAATCTTATGGAAAATTGTGTCAAAGAAATAAATTGAAGAACAAACTGGCAAGTCGTGAATTCTAATGACAATTCAATTTGTACATAGGGAATCAATGAGCACAGTGTTTAACAAGTTTCATTACCTGTGTAATGGGCTTTTGTGTTTTGTATTTGTACTAAAACACTGTCTATTGTGCATTTTATGGCTGGTACAAATCAGCAGTCTCTAAGAATTAAATGAAAATTGATAGTGAAGTCACATTATTATGACCCCTGGGAGATGTTTTTGAATTGTTCGTGAACATATTCATGAACAATTTCATGAATGTGCATTTGAACAAGTTCATGAATGTGCATGAACAACAAATGAGACTTTTTTTCTTTCATGGACAATTCATGAATCAATATATTCATGAATGTTCATGAACATATATTCATGAATATGTTCATGAATATCTTGATTCATGAATTGTCCGTGAACTAAAAAAAGTCTCATTTGTTGTTCATGCACATTCATGAACTTGTCCATGAATATGTTCATGAACAGTTCATGAATTATTCATGGAATTCTCGCAGGGGAAGCCATCAATTCTATATTTAAAATAAAGACTATCAGTGGAGCCAGATTCTTGTAACGTAAATGTGTTGTTTTTTTTTTATCAACATCAAAAAAGTGTAACTAATATACAAATAAGCTTTTTTCTTACAAAATGTTTTCACTTTATTCCAGGCACATTTAATTATACTAACAGAAACAGTAAAAGTGTTAGCCATCTTGTACCATATTTTCTTTCCATTACCTTGTTCTATGTTATGAATAAAATGGTTTAAGGAAATTCTTTCCTTCTTGGAAGATAATAAATCATGTTTTGCTGGTACTCAATTGACCAATCTCAAATCCAGATGTGTATTTACATAGGAAAGTATTCGCATCAAGCATAGAAAATGGTGGTTAATCTGACATAGACAGCTGGTCAGCTGATAAACTGTCTGAAGAACAACAGAAAAACACCACTAGAATACAACTATGCCAGCCTACAGTTTGTCAGGTTATACCCAGCTTGTATTTTATTAGCTGTTCTGATCTTAAAATCAACACCAAATTTAGTGTGAAACAATAATGCAAGTTTATAGGTGCATGCAAAGGATACAATTTATTCCTTTAACATATCATATATAAACCTTTAACCTGTAGGGCCTTACCCACCAGTATAGACTGTTGGTAGTTCAGTGTTCACCCTAGTGGTATCTTTCTTTTAACCCAAAATGTGTATGATTTTTTGATTTCACATAAAATTTTATCAACATAGCATTTCATCTTAAGCCAGTTTATAACTTTTGTAGCCAATCAAATTAATGTCACATAAATATTACTTCATAGATTGTTACTAATTGTGCATATATTATAACAGCAATTTCTATACATTAAGAGTTCATTAGCTTAATAAATCATTAAATATCAAAATGTTCAGCCTTACAATAATCTTATACTTACTTGTTGTTTTTCTTGTAAATCCAGATTGTAAAGTTAGCTGAACACAAATTTACATGTAAGATGTATATAAAGTATTTTTAAAGGAAACACTTGCAACAGTAAGTTTTAAGACACAAGGCACTGTTTTCTACTCTAAAGCTCACATTGGTCAATAAATTATACAGTGAACATAATGTCATAGAATATGTTGGCAGGATGAGATAATTGTGACAGCAGGAATGTTCTGACATCAAGGTGTGAGCAATGTTTCCAGAATGTCTCTCACAGATAAATGTTCACCAGTTATACCAGTATATGTAACATTAGTCACTCTGTTTATTCTACAGAAATACAGTCTACTGAATGTGAAAACCTCACAACATTATTCTACAAAGTAAACAAGTCCTTTATGTTGCAATCTATGATCTTGCATATCACTGTACTAATGTTGACAATGTAACACTGATGTAAAATGATCAAACTTAAAACAGTCATAAATTAATTGCCAAGAATACATGTAAATCCTTTCACTTATTAAAATGAATGACAACAATCAGTGTGTATTCACTATTCTAGAGACAGAATTGTACTGGAAATAACATCTGTCATTTCAGGCAAGCTCATGTTTTTGACAGCTGATTCTCTGTCAGCAGATTTTTTAACAGCAAAATATCATGCTGTGCAGAGAACAAAATCATCTTAACAAATCTGTGACAAATATCTTTAATCAAGATACTACACCAGTCCACACAGAAACATGTATAATTACAGTGTCAATATCTAGAACATCAATACCAGGAAAAATGTTCTCTTTACACAATTTAATCTGTGTCTTATTAATTAACAAGCATAGAATCTCTACAGCCAGCCAATATGTTAGGGAATATTTTAAGGAAGACTTTTGCCTGTGACGTTATTTCCCGGTACACAGAATCTTCATTTTGTCTTCATCAAGTCTTGATAATCCTTGTCTAACATTTTCTGTACCAGGTGATATTTGAACACAATTCCCACATTGATCTGTTCTGTAACACTTCATGAACAGTATGATGTCTACAAACTTTACAGATGCTGGTTGATGTGTTAATATATGAGTCCTGTATATGTTCAACAGTGAATATTCCAGCATACACTATATACATGTATTATATCCTTTACTGTCCACTAACACTACTGTATTGTACACTAGAAGATCGTCAGTAAAGTGTTGCCAGACTGTTAGATAGGTTACCACTAACACTACTGTATTGTACACTAGTAGATCTACAGTAAAGTGTTGCCAGACTGTTAGATAGGTTAGTAGATCTACAGTAAAGTGTTGCCAGACTGTTAGATAGGTTACCTCTAACACTACTGTATTGTACACTAGTAGATCTACAGTAAAGTGTTGCCAGACTGTTAGATAGGTTAGTAGATCTACAGTAAAGTGTTGCCAGACTGTTAGATAGGTTACCTCTAACACTACTGTATTGTACACTAGTAGATCTACAGTAAACTGTTGCCAGACTGTTAGATAGGTTACTTCTACAGATGTTTATCAAGCTGGACACATGTACTGTAAGGTATTTACTGTAAGGTATGTACACTGCTCCTGTAGAGATCACAGCAGGGTGGGAGGCTGGCTAGAGGATTTCTTCCTCATATCTCTAACCTTTATTAGCCAGCTGCTCTAATTATCAGCATATATATATCTTGCTTATATTAATAACTATCTATGGCTAACTATCTTATAAATTGACATGGGTTAATATTAATCATTTATTTTAACTGAATTTCCTTATCATGGGTAATAAAACCTAGCATACTTGTAAATCAGTTTTATTAAACAAGCTATGATATATATCATTATATTTTTTTCCCACATACTTTAATTTCATGTTTTTCTAATGTTGGTGTATGTTATAGGACAATAATGAAGCGTTTTGGAAAAAAAAATGATTTTTTTTAAAACTGTCCATTAAACAATATTAATAGCTACAGTTCAGACTTCATGTTGTTTTAATGATCATTAATTAAAGCAAATCAAAGATTTATGTAGAAATTTGTTTTTTAACATGGTTTTAAAAGGTAAAACCAAACAAATTAATTCAATATCTATATTGTTTTGTCATATAAGGGAAGCAACTACAATGTATAATCAAATGCTAAGAAAACAAGTGAGCAGATAATTGTCTCCCTTTTCGTACTAGCTGCTACTTCAATGATGTAGTTTCTTAAAAACAGGAAAAGTTTTTGTTATATCAATTTCACAAAAATTTCAAACAGTGAAGAAACTTATTGGTTTCACAGTTAAATGTTATCATCATGATTTTGTTTACAGATCATCAACATTCTTTTATATAGCATGGTTACTATACAGATATCAAAGTTATATGTACACACTCTCCTCTATCTTGTAGTTGTTAATGTTCTATACTTTATATCACAGGTCACCATATTAAAGTCTTCATAATATTTTCTATAGAAAAATGACATTATGATTTTTAAACTTTCCATCATAAGTTTAGAGCAAAATATCATCAAACATAACTTTATTAGATCCCACAATACAAACTGTCATATCTACAGGGGTTTATTTAAGCGGACGCCCGCTTGCCCGCGTCGGGTAGAAATCGCTGCGGGCAAGTGAAATTTGAAAGCAAATTGCCCGGCGGGCAAGTGAATTTTCGTTATGCCTGCTATTAGCTTTGATATCCTTTGCCGATAATACTTTTCTTTCCGTTCATATTACAGTCAAACAAGTGTATTTATAACTGTTTCTGATTGTAGTTGGACTCCTATCAACCCATCAAATTACGTAAAAAAACTTTTTTCTATTTTGCTTTCCTTTCAAAATGGCGGGCGGCGCCGAAAGTTTTCTCATTTTTAAAAGAAAAAAATCTACAGCAATTAAAGAAAAAGCCACGGCAAAGAAAACATCTGATTTTCTGAATAAAAAGCATAAAATCACAAAAATTCAAGATGAGTTATGTCAATAAAGACTGACACAACTGCAAGGTTCAAGAAAGAACAGAAAAATCGGGCCGTAAAAATCTACTCCTTTGAATCCTGTACGCTATTGTTTTCTTCATACAGTCAAAATTTAACTAACTGGTGTCAACTCATTTGCAATAGGCCTATAGATTTTTTTTAAAATTCATCACCAGTAATCTTTTTTACACAAATCTTGACGAAAAATCATAATAGTCTTGAACTGTTGTTAATTTATTTTCCTTTCTCCCCTACGGCAATGTTTAGAAATATTCTTACCTATAAATAAACAGAATAAAATAATCCATAAAATGTTTAAAATCCTTTTTGGTAAATCACAGCATATTGTGTAACTATAAGTTATCTGAGGTCATTCTAGGTCATGCCTAATTTACGACCAAAACAGAAAAAAACCTCCTTAGGTGAAACATACAGCAAATGACGTATATTTCGTCTGACAGTTCTTTGAACCAGTCAGTGCTCTGAACTGTATGATTACTGCATGGGGTGAGTCCCTTTGATGTGACATAGGTTAAAACTTCAAATAAATTTTAATACAAACAGGGAGGATAGGAATCAATTTAAATTGAGTATAACACATCCTGTCATGGACTTGGAGCAACTTGTTGTTTTTAAAAATGAAATAAATTTGAAAGGTACATTACTAGTTTGGTAATGCAAACAAAGCAAACATATTTTTGATATTTTACATTGTTTGAAATCAACAATAAACATTTAAAACCTAGCACAATTTTAACAATCAATGTACTGTTTCCTTTTTAATGTTGTTTTAGGGAATAAATATTTTTAAGGTGATAGCATCTGAATGTTAATATATTTTAAAAGTCATCTGGAATAGGGCCTAATATTTCCTGTAATTTTTATAAGCCTTAACAGATCATGTCGGACATGACTATTGTTAATCTTCACTTTCATTTTACTATTTTGATGTGAGGAATCCCTGACATTTAGGAGTTTTTAAATCTCAGGGATTTCTATTGGATCCCTGGCAAAGAAAGTTGTGTCGACCCCTAGACTATTGTGAATGAGCAAACAAACATATACAGTAGGGAATTTAGGACTATTTTACTATCTGAGGCATAAGTTGATAGGATCTGCAATAAATCTTATTTTTACCCATAATTTTTGCTTTGATTATTAACAAACTTCACATTTAAGATCGGGCAACCTGTTTTTCCTGGGGGCAAGTAGATTTTCAAAGTTACTTGCCCTTTGGGCAAGTGAAAGTCAAAACCTTAAGTAAACCCCTGATCTAAGTAAGTTTTTTACACTAATTTTACATTGTAAAATACATATTCAACAAGAGCACTGCATCATGTGGTTCCAACATTTGTCTGTCAAGTGTAATAAGTAGCAAGTGCTTCACTATTAGTAAGATAAAGGGGCATAACTCTTTAAAAAGTTTACTCAGTTATGGGACCAGTGTCAATAGTCTTTCTTACATAATCACAGAAAACAATTATGTGAAGTATTAACTTATTCCTATCAGTATATTGGAGATACCAACTTGCTATTATGGGGCTGTCATCAGCATATCTGTCCAGTTACACTATAAAACTAATATGTTAGATCTTGATATTAAACAGCATAACAGGTTTAAAATTTACCTTTATAATATCACCATCCTTGAAGGTCAGAGAGTTAGGGTCATAGATGTTGCAATGGTCTCTTACAGCTTTTGCCTGCACACAAAAACTTGCTTCTGTAATATACAAAAACAACATCATTAAATATCCTTGAAATGATACATTACATAATTATAATTGAAAAATATTGAAAAGGGAAGACAGGGCACAATGTCAAACAATGGCAATCTTTCTGATTTAAGGATAGTAGACTTACATCAAACAATCATCTTAAACAATGGCAATTTATCTGGCCTATGGCCCTTAGAGCACTATATCTAACAATGGCAATCCCTCTGGTACCACATGGCAATGCCCCATTGTATTTCTGCATCATAATTTAAACACATCTATCTTATAACTTTTAAATGAAATTTTCTTTACAGCCTCACTACAGATAAATATCCTTGAAACTAAATACTTCAATCAACAATTTTCAGACAAAAATGTAACTAAAGAAATGTTTTCTTTATAAAAGTGTATAATGTCTACTATTGATCAACACACTAACATTTGATGAGACAAGGTTTTTCAAAGTAAGCTGACTAAGATATTAACATACATGTATAATTATATATACATACTGAGACAGTCAAATTGTCTTTTGTCAAAGAGTTTAGGAGCATTTATACACATAATAAAATCACCTTTTCTTCTAGACAGAATACTTCAAACTTTATATGATCAGACAATAAAGTTTTTTTCTTCCAGAGACCTGGAATATTTATGGAACAGTTGATTTTACTTCAACTTTCCTTAATAACTTTTATTCATGGCAGCAACCAATTGTGATTATGCTTGATACATTTTTTTTTTAGTTATGCATTTTGTATTTGAAATTTTAACTAACCTAATTTGATTAGTCTCTCACAGTACATTGTCTCATAACTATAATATTGTTAAAATTTCATTCTTCAATATTTCGAAATATTTGGTACTTCCTTAGCATTATTATTTTTAAATCAAAGAGTCTCATTTTCTTTACAATGCTTCAAAAATTACTTCTCTTTCAAATTCTTCTTCAAAAACATAAGATAATTTGGACAATAAAGATTACACATTAAACAGATTACTGAACTTCTTGTAAAGGTTGTTATCATATCAATATAGATCATACATAAATTCCAGTGTTTATGATGGTGATAGTGTTGTATAAAATTGATGTTTCCATGTATCTATCTATAACCTCTCATTGTATGTAACATACAGTAGCTTTATCAACATAAACATTATACAAAGTTTGAACATTTTCCTGGATTAGATCCAGGATCAACAGATTGTAAAGTTGTTTAAAGTTTAATGATTTATGGAAGATATTTGCTATTTTCAGCATACACAAAAACCTTTCAAATATTTATGATTTCAATCTAAGTTGTTTAGTAAACATTGGTTGTTCATGCATCTGTCAAATAAATTACAAGAGAACATTTAAAAAACTTTTGTTCCTAACCTTTAACCATTACAATTTAACACCTACCCTGTATACAACACTAACACACACTCTTACACAAACTGAGTCTATAACTGAAAACCCCTATGCTTTACACAAAAAAGTCTATAACTGAAAACCCTAGGCTTTACACTAATAGAGTCAATGACTGAAACCCTACCCTTTACACAAACTGAGTCTTTAACTGAAATCCATAAGCTTTACACAAACAGAGTCTATAACTGAAACCCCTATGCTTTACACAAAATAGTCTATAACTGAAAACCCTACGCTTTACACAAAATAGTCTATAACTGAAAACCCTACGCTTTACACAAATAGAGCTTATGTCTGAAAACTCTACCCTTTACACAAACTGAGTCTTTAACTGAAATCCATACGCTTTACACAAACAGGACTATAACTGTAACCCCTATGCTTTACACAAAAAGAGTCTGTAACTGAAAACCCTATGCTTTACACAAATGGAGTCTATAACTGAAAACCCTATGCTTTACACAAATAGAGTCTATAACTGAAAACCCTACGCTTTACACAAATAGTCTTTAACTGAAATCCATACGCTTTACACAAATACAGTCTTTAACTGAAACCCCTATGCTTTACACAAATAGAGTCTTTAACTGAAATCCATACGCTTTACACAAATAAGAGTCTATAACTGTAACCCCTATGCTTTACACAAATAGAGTCTATAACTGAAAACCCTATGCTTTACACAAACTGAGTCTATAACTGAAAACCCTACGCTTTATACAAACTGAATCTATAACTGAAAACCCTATATTTTACACAAATAGAGTCTATAAGTGAAAACGCTACGCTTTACACAAATAGAGTCTATAACTGAAAACCCTAAGGCTTTACACAAATAGAGTCTATAACTGAAAACCCTACGCTTTACACAAATAGAGTCTATAACTGAAAACCCTATGCTTTACACAAATAGAGTCTATAACTGAAAACCCTACCCTTTACACAAATACAGTCTATAACTCTTACCTTTTTACCTATTACACATACAGCCTCAGATGCAACAACAATAAGGTGCAACAGATTAAAAATATATCAGGGTAATTTCCCATAATAACTTGAAAGAACACCACCGTCACTAGCAAAATTAGGCTTAGTATCTTATAAATCTATTCATTACGCAATCACCAGTTAATCTAATGAAAATACAAAATCTATTTTAAAATTGAGATGTAATATCTCACCTGTAGAAACATGCATTTTCCTTTTGAATAAAAATCTATAATAAGTTGCATCATTGTTGCCCTTGCATGCTACGTGCTGTGCATGATATTTCCCATATGACAGTTGAGTCATATAATGACAGTAACTTGTATAACTGCATGTTCATTTCTTCATATAAAATTTATGAGCAATTAAATTATGAATCATTAGAAAAGTAGCTTGTTTATAGAGGAAAATATGGAGCAGTTTAGAGGCCAGTTTCTGTTTACACAGACTGAGATGATAATTATTCTATGAAACCAAATGTCCACAAAATATCTTCCTAAAATTGCAAAATATCTTACACAAGTTATTCTCCAGGAAATGTATACACAATATGTTTTCTGGAAATTGTACAAACAAAATATCCTCCAGAAATAATATCAATAAAATAAACATCCTCAGAATTATTGTATAAATAAAATATTCAAAATATTTTTAACAAATTTTATCAACTCACTGACTCAGAGATTTATTTAAACAAACAAAAAATCCTCCAGAAATCATATCAAGAAAATAAACATCCTCATGAAAATGTATAAACAAAAAATCCTCCAGAAATCATATCAACAAAATAAACATCCTCATGAAAATGTATAAACAAAATATCCTCCCGAAATCATATCAACAAAATAAACATCCTCATGAAAATGTATATACAAAAGATCCTCCAGAAATCATATCAACAAAATAAACATCCTCATGAAAATGTATATACAAAATATCCTCCCGAAATCATATCAACAAAATAAACATCCTCATGAAAATGTATATACAAAATATCCTCCCGAAATCATATCAATAAAATAAACATCCTCATGAAAATGTATATACAAAAGATCCTCCCGAAATCATATCAACAAAATAAACATCCTCATGAAAATGTATATACAAAAGATCCTCAAGAAATCATATCAACAAAAATCAACAAAATAAACATCCTCATGAAAATGTATAAACAAAAAATCCTCCCGAAATCATATCAACAAAATAAACATCCTCATGAAAATGTATATACAAATTATCCTAAAATCATATCCTAAAACCCTCATTGAAAAAATGTATATTACAAAAGAATCCTCCCGAAATCATATCAACAAAAGTAAACATCCTCATGAAAATGTATATACAAATTATCCTCCCGAAATTCATATCAACCAAAAATAAACATCCTCATGAAAATGTATATACAAAATATCCTCCAGAAATCATATCAACAAAATAAACATTCCTCATGAAACACGCTTATATAAGGGAAAAGGTTAAGACAATAACCAATCATATCTATTATATATAATTAGTCATCAATCTCTATTTCCAGCAGTCTATAATTACAACCATTATTCAACAAATGTCCTCTCCAATAATGCCATTTTCTTCTATATTTCCTGTTGTCTTAGTAACAGCTATTCCTTTGCAAAACTTCTGCAGCACATAAAAATATAATTTGACAACAAAATTGGTCAGCATCAGTTATAAGTTAAATTAAGAGAAGACCAAATGTTTTAAATCATTAATTCTGTTATTGTGTTGTTTACATATTGTAATCAAACAAAGATATTTAAACTACAAGTTAGCCACTAAAATCATGACTTAAATTGTAATCAAACAAAGACATTTAAACTACAAGTTAGCCACTAAAATCATGACTTAAATTGTAATCAAACAAAGACATTTAAACTACAAGTTAGCCACTAAAATCATGACTTAAATTGTAATCAAACAAAGATATTTAAACTACAAGTTAGCCACTTAAATCATAACTTATATCACTGGTAGTCATTATCTGTTAAATTCTATCATATTCACAATATAGTTAGTTATTGATTCAACATTTAAAGTTGCTCGTCTTTCAGAGAGTCGTTTATCATGTTGCTATTATATCCTGTGACAGTTCAGTTGCTATTTGTCCTATTTAAAGAATATTCAAATAGGATGAGTCACACTTTGGATCTGACAATGAAAGATGTAACAATCTTTATTATTCCAAGAGAGAAGAATTTATAACCTGAAGAACAATTGTTCTAGAACTATTCAAGAACACTTAATTATTATGTAAAATGTTTCCCTCCAATAGTTCTTTCAAATATAAGTACTTAAACTTAAACTACTTAAATCATTATATCTCATTAGTTCTTGTGTGATCCTAGTAAGATTTTATTTATTTCAAAATAAAGGATACTTCTCAATTTATAAATTTGATAAAATGTGTAATCTAATTAATCGTAATTAACTATTTGTAAGTACTTATTTTGTCTTAAGGTTTATTTTTGTATGTTTTGACTTAAAGATTGCTAGAATTAACATTCATTTATCCCCAATTACAATTGTATCAAATGTATAGGAGATTTTAAAGTTTTCCGATGGGAGGAATACAAAACAACCAAAACA